ATGCATCTTTTTGTTGTTGTTTTTTTCTCCCACACTGTTTACATTTGATCACTGCTGCAATTTATGGAATGGAAATGTTAATTTACTGTCTGAAAAACTGTATACACTTAGTGTATACAAACTGACAATCTAATTTGTCTTAGAAAGTCTAAAATAACTGCACAATTCAAGGACAGATGCATTCACAGCGTGCAATATCTGGAACAAATCATTTTCACTGATGTCAGATAGAAAACCCCAGCTAACCAGAAAGATACGTTTATTTTTTTAAACAAATACCCCGCTTTTATGGTTGATCTTTACAAACACTCTCCCATGGTCGGTATCGTAACTCTGGCCCTCACTGATGCATCCACCGCCTGCGTGACCCACTGGCTTCAGCGTCGTGGTCCCCAGCTCCTTTTTTAATTTACCTTCCATAATTGTATAGAAAGTAAATTTCAGCAGATCAGAGGAAAGTCTCTCGATCTGACAGCTTCCGTCGTTTTAACCAACGAGGACTTGTTAACATAGATATCCATAATAAATCCTTTATTATGGATATCTATGCTTGTTAAGGCCTGAGAGAAATGTTTTGTTTCCGCTTTATTTATGCGGATTATATTGCGGCCAATCAGAGGCAGCCCGGAAATGATTGACTTCTAACTCGACCAATTACTGCTAAGGAGCGTGTTCACGTGATCACGGTCCTTACCCGCGATAGGTCGACATAGAACTCAATTAGAGGCAGCCCAGAAATGATTGAGTTCTATCTCGACCAATTGCTGCTAAGGACCGCGACCACGTGAGAGTTGCCATGGTTGTCAAACGGAGTAACTTCGAAAACATGTTACCACTGGCTTCATAGATATTAATACGGTCTTTCCCTCCTACCTTGCGTTGCAATAAAACGAAATAATGAGCAGCAAAGAAGTGTGCTTACTTCTCGGAGCAACTGGTGTTGGAAAAACGTTATTACTTAAACGCCTACAAAATATCCTTTAATCTCAGTGTTCTTGGAATAGATGTCAGGGCTGGATAGGCTCAAAGGCTAATGTAGCTTAGCCTGCTGTGACTTGGCTTTAAAGGTCTGCAACTCGTTTTTTAAGATGCATCATGTGTCTTGAGTTATAACCTATGCAATTATGAATCGTAAAACAAATTTTCGCATTTCAATTATTGTTCACTTATGTTTTCCTTACATATTTTATTTTACTGATCACTTTACATGGCTCATGTGAAATGGGTTCCCCTCCATCAACCCTTCCCACAGTAAGTATTTTTTATGTATGATCAGAACAGCTTTTTTTTTCTTGTAACACCATCTGAAGCCCAAAAAATGCGAAAAAAATGGCAGCTGTTTATAAATATCATAATATGTTGCTCCTAGCAGCAATGCTTAACTATTGCAACTAATCAAGTTTACATTGTGCAGGTAGTATATTTCTGTCTACTTTTTGTTTTGAAATGCTAAAGAAGAGGTTTCAAAATTGCACAGATAATCTTCAGATATTCATGTTCTTCATATGCAGCTGATGAAAAAAAAAGACAATTTATTTTAATGTTATTGCTTTGAAATTGTGTTTTTATGATTTTAAATTATGGTACATGTCTACAAACTCCTGAACAACTGCCAAGATGCTAATCCATGTACTAGTCAGGAATCTTATAAGAGTACAACTAAAGGTCTGCATCGTTGCAGGACAGGAAAAAGATCAGAGACCTGCTGGAGAAAAATCTGCTTACTGAAAGCATTTCCTTTGGTCAGATTAGGAAAGAACACTAACGCTCTCTGACCATAGAGGTATTGCTTTTATTTGAGGAAAAGACGGAGAGCCCTCTAGCCCCAAAACACCCCACCCACAGTGAAACACGGCAGCGGTCTCACTTTGTATTACTTCAAAGGCTCTCGTCCAATTAGAGAAGAAAGGTTATGAGAAGGAAAGAAAACCAAAAGTGGAGATTTATTGTGAAAATGTGTTTTCAAAAGTATCCACAATAATCTAGGATGTTTAAATAAACTGCATTAATCTTTCTTTTTAAATGGCATCTAAATAATCCTTTAATACAATATATAGATAGATAGATATATAAGCTGAGATTGTCAGCAGTTCTTTACCAACATCTTAAAGTGTTTATTATATGATGGAAAAAAGTATAATTAAGAAAAATGGCACTTGAATGACTCCATAATCCAGTTCTGTTTAGGGCCCCAAAAATGCAGTCTGGGGTCAATTTTAAGAGCACTTTATCACCATAATGGTAACATCTTTAATCTGCAGGTAGGAACCAACCTAACAGATTTGACCCTGAAAAAGAAGAAGGTGACTGTGAGGGAAATCGGAGGCTGCATGGGCCCAATATGGCCGAGTTACTTCCAGGACTGCTTCGCTGTGATTGTATGCGCTTTGTATAGTTGTTCCATTTATTTTTATATTAGTTTTTTCATATTATATTTTATTTTTAATCTGTTTTTATATATTTCATACAGTTCATGGTGGATTCAGCCAACATTGTTCAGATATCCTCCTCCTGTATCCAGTTGCTGTCTGTGCTCTCTGCTGACCCTCTGCGCAATGTCTCTGTGCTTATTCTCTTTAACAAGAGGTATTTATGGCATCAGTCCAGATGAGCAAGTTTAATTAAAATCATGTTAGCGAGTAATATTTCAACTTTTCATCTTGTTGAGATTTGTTGTTTCTCCTGATATTTCATTCCAACCTTTTTTATTTTTTTTTCCAGGGATATGCCTTGCCTCATGAGTCTGACAGAGATAAAATCACTATTCAGAATAGATGACATCGTTTCATCAGCTCCTCAAACTATCACAACGCTAGAGGCCAGCGCTCGCTCTGGACAAGGTCTGCAAGAGGTGTTGAGCTGGCTGGAGTCTGTTGCAGTCAAGTGAAACACATTTTGTAGCTTGGAAAAGCCTTACTGATGATCACATCCAGATTCAGTGTCTAAAATAGCATCTTTTAGACAATCACAGTTAGTGTTGGACTATAAAATAGTGCATATGAGAAAATGCAATAGGAAAAATTAAGAGGAAAAATTGTAGGAATATTTGTTTGAAAGAGTTTATAGTGACACTTTTTCAGTATTACCTTAGGTTTCATCTGCCAATGTTTTTTCCTTATTCTTTTCTTATTAAATTCTTTAGTGAGCAAATTCTTTAAAAGCAGGTTAAGACCACTTATAATCTGATTCAAATGAGGATGAGAGTTTGACCTAAACTCTTACTGCCTAGATTTAAGTTAATTAAAGACACAAAACAAAATAGATATAAAAAATCAGTAAAAATACTGACTTGAAATGGAGTTTACTTCAGGTTCTTAAGGTTTGAATTATAAGTAATTGAAAGTCTGTTTTGTAATTGCAGAATATAGAGTATATCATATGAATTGTAACAACCTCATTTTGTGGAATATTTTATAAAGAATCCATGCTGACTATAAAAGACATAAGAAAGGGAAGAAATGATTCCAAGAAAGACATAAAAAGGGAGTAAAAATAGCTGCAAAAATAGTCAGATGTAGGTCAGCCTCTCTCTAAGACACTGGTGTGTAGAGATGAAACAAAAGTGAAAATATGGCCCACTATGAAAGCTAAATACAGTTGTGCTTAGAAATGAGGGATAATTAAACTGTTAAAGAGGGACCATTTATATTTGATATTAGTTTAGTGAAAGTCTACGTTTCCCTCAGCTGAACAGTGGTTTAAATCGCATACATTGGGGAAAAGTGGTGTGTGTGAAAATTACCAGGTGTTTATCTGTTGGTCAACTCCCAGCAGAACTCTAAAGAGTATAAAGCTCATCCTCAAAAGAAGCACACTTGAAAACCTAAGAGCTTAAATGGAAATGGTGCCATTGTGCATGGCAGAAATGATCAGCAGGTTGAAGATGGTGCTCCGAATGTAAAACTGTTAAAAGAACCTCAACAAATTGAATAAGACTGAAAAAAGTATTATTTTTATAAGTCAATACGAAAAGAGAAACTCTCATTAAGTACCGATTTGTTTTTCTCCTACAAACAAATATATATTTTGAGCATTCAATTCAGTAAAATTCCACCTTATTGCCATAGAACTCATGAAAATAAAAATAGTATAATGTCAAGAAAAACAAAACTGTGTATGTGCTTAATACTGGATCAGGGATCCTTTTCCTTCCAACCAACCATCTAACAATATGCTTTCTCTCATCACCATGTGCACAACCAGCCTACTAAGCAATAACCCATTATGGCGTACCCTCATGGTGGAGAGTGTCATTGTTTACTGGATAACTGCGCAATCAGCAGTCTTCCTCATTGTGTAGGTCAAAACATGGTCATCGCATAACATTTCTGTATCCAAAGTCATTCTCTATTTAGGTCTTTAAGCGTGTAATAAATATTTATCCATAAAATGTATGAACTTTTCTGTGATATTTTAATTTACTCAGGTAAATAGTTTTTTTTATACCATTTTCAGTGTTTGGGTAGAATATGAATGTATAGGTATCGTTTTTTTTTTTTTTTTCTTTTCTTTATTGGTCTCTGGAGAGCTTTTATTTATTTAAATCAAGGTTGAAAATTTGATACATTAGGATTTATTTCTGATGTAAGTTTTGCATAATGATGTGGAGGTGCCATTAGTTTTTAATCAGGATTTTAGCTACCTCGCAGTAAATAAAAAATGAAGAAGAAAAATGTTTTTTTTTGTGCAAGTTTTTTTCACTTTTTTCTAAATAGTTGTACTGATGATAACAGAGGAGGTGAGTAGAAAATTAAAGCTGAACAATTTAAAAGACGAAAAAACTGTTGTTGTAGTGCTGCTGTATTTGATCAGTTAGTGTTTCACAAGCAAATTCTTTTACATTCCAGATGCTTTCTTGCATGTTGGAAAAATCAAAGCGCAATCAAAATCTTCATTACAGTTATTGTCAAAATGTATATACATGGAATTAACCAATCAGTTCTGGTCCACAGAAGCTTCATGGGTTAAATGAGTTGTTGCAGGAGCGTTTTCAGGCACTGAACTGGTTTTCATGTTGCCTGTTGTAAGACATCAGGTCAAAGGTCACAGACAACAACGTTATATCAAAGTGTGCTTCTGGTTTGTATTTGTTCTTTAAATTTGTAGCCCATTATTAACAGTTCAACAGCTTCCATTCGATGTTTGAAGGAGTAGAACTGGCTTGCTGCAATACAAGGTTACTGGTTTTATACAACAATATAAAAACCATTAATAATACGCATTTCATAAAAGTCTTTAGGGCTGCAGTTTGGTTTGCAGAATGAGTATTATTCCAAGAGCATACACTACTATGTCTCCATTTCCTAGCTGATATTGGTCTTGTTTCTGGGACGTCTTTATAAGAATGGGTTCACATTGATTTGTGTATCCTCATTACTAGCTGAGGAGAAGGGCAACAGAGGCTCGGGTAGCTTCACTGGCAGTTCCAGACCAGGCGGAGTGGGGTGAGTGAGGGACGAAGGGATGGCAGCACCTTGGTGGCTTGTAGGCAAGGGCAGTGAGGCACTGTATGGCAGGGAGGAGGTTTGGGGAACCGAGGATTCAAAGCTGGAGCTCATCTCATCCAGGCTGACTTTCGGCTGCTCGGCTTGGAACGGATTGGCAGCTGAAGGAGCACTGAGACCTAGACCAAAATTATATTGTTATTTTACTTTGCAGAGCAAGTAAGGATGTTTCTTTCTGGCTGATTTCTTATTCTACTCTTGTAAGAATTCTTGGCAATAAAATGTTGCACCTTTGAAAAAGGTCTATAAACCAAAGCCTATATCATTCTGTAAGAATTGGGCAATAGCTTGTGAAATATACCCAAAACTTCTGATTTAAATTATAGTTTAAAAGACAATTCTACAAAATGCTAAAGAAATGTATGCTGAGGTCTAAATAAAAAAAAAGAATCTATGATTATTTAGGTACTTTGTAATATTAACTCATTATGTTAATCAAACTTGACCTGCGAAAGGAAAGATAATATTTGATGTAATGCAAGACGGTAAGGAAAAAAGATATTTTCTTTACTATTTACTTTTATAGCTTCTGCTTTCATCTGTAGGTGTACTAATATTCGTAGTGCAATTATACCTGCTAAAAATGGATTTGTGGTCTTTGCTGGGGGATTTTTGGGAATCAGTGCGTCTAAGTCGACCAAAGAAGCAGCTGTGGGTCCAAGGAAGGCCTCGGGTGTCTTGCATTTTCGAGGCGCAGCGATAGGGAGGCTGTCTCTTAGACCGGACATGTTGAACAGGTCAGAGCTGTCCTCTTCTTGACCATTAATACTCGCAGGACCACCATCCATGGCTTCGTCAAACAGGTCCCCATCTGGCACAAGGGAAAACACTGTAAGATGCAAAAACACAGGCACAGACCTGATAAAAAGAAAAGATAAAACTTTACCTGAGGGGCTCCCTCTTCGTGGTGGAACTTCACTGGCTGCTCCTGTGGCCGCCGTTCTGTTTGATGAAGCAAAGAATGGATCCACTCTAGAGGATGCTGTAGATAAATCAGAATTAATGATGGTTGAACTAACTTGCTTTTTTGAGCATTCATGTGTTTGAAGAACAATGTCTACCGGATGTCAAACTTTGGGCTGTGGGGTTGGAGACGTTGTCTTGCAGACCGTCCCAGGAGTATGCTGGAGGTTCCCACGGTGGTGGAGGGCTGTGAGAAGGTGGCACCATCCAGGGAGAATCAGCTCTTGGGATGTTATCTTCATTCAGCAGTAAAACAATCAGAAAAACAAAGACTGTCAGTAAGACTATGGAAGGATTATTATTTTATTCTGATTTAGAGTGGCTCTGTTTAGTCTGAACATATAGTATTTTCCGAATTAAACTAGTTCATCCATCGTAGCTTTGGCTTTACATTTGAACCTGCCGTCTTCCTGGAAGGTGAACTTCTGCCCCCAACAGGTCGTGTTCTAGCATTGCCGTAATTTAGCTCCATCTACCTTCAACGGTGTCTGCAGAACAAACAGCTCTATAGCATGACACTCTCACTACTGTGTTTTACTGTAAGGAGAAATGTAGTGAAGTTCAGTATCTATTTTTTTCCAAATAGTTAAGATGCTGTTTTGGTTTCATTTGACCAAAACAACTTTTTCTACATGTTTACTGTGTCTCCTGTGTTACAGCCTTCTGTCCACCATAATGTCGCTGTTGTCGCACATTAGTAAAGTTGAGATCTGTGGAATGTGTAGCTCATATTGGCCCTGTCACAGTCTCTTCCATCAAGCTGCGGATTTCTGCACTTCATCCAAGTTACAGAGGGCCTCATGGCTGTTTCTTTTACTAATGCTCTCCTTGCTCAGTCTATTAGGTTAGGTGGATGCCAATGTCTTTTAGGTTTGCAGTTGTGGCAACGCAGACTGGCCGTCAGGCGAGGCAGGACAATTTCTGGGGGCTGGCCTGGTTTCTGGCTTATTATGCGGTCGCAAAAAGCAGAGACACACGCTTTGCCTCTCATTTCTGTTTCTGAGGCACAGGACAGCTTGAGCCTCCATCAGTGGGAGACACAGAGCAGAAGAAAGAGGGAAAAAGAATTGGCTGCAAAATGTGAAAAACTAATATTGGAAAGCAAGAAAGACTAACACAAAGGAGAACGAACTAGCATAACACATTCAAAACAACTTGATTAATGAGGAGGTTAGATCCACTTTGAGGACCCTTAGGGATTTAATAAAACATTCTTTTAAGTTGTGTGAAGGAAAATGCAAATTTTAGAATGTTGAAGATGAAGATGGTTTCATTCCAGTTCTTAGTTCTTGTTTTGTTTTTATTACTACATCCCATTAACTACCTAAAACATTGTGCAACTATAAAAATCCTTATATAATTTTATTGACCCATTATTTAAGATTAAAAACATATCTGTTGTGATATGAAGCTTTTCTGTGTTTATAAAGAGTCAGTTGGGGACTATGAATTGAAGGGAAATTCTTTATATCTTTGGGTTTTCTTTTATAAACAAAGATGAAACGAAAAACCGCAGGAAGTAATCAGCGCAGGACCCTTAAGATACAAATTCTTAGAGCACTTAAACTTATCCAAAGCCCCTGTCGCACCGTGACAATTAGGCCAGCGTATGCCTGACCTATGAAAAGTCAGGCAAAAACGATGGCATATGTAGGTGATTTATGGGTACGTTTTGTATAAGCCATGAGGACGCCGAGGTACACTGAATAGGCTCTATGCACAGCTCCACTACTTCCTGAATTTAATGCAGCTCCTTTGTTTCCTGTCTTTCATGATTGGATGCACTGATTAATCCAGGTGTGTATGACCTAAGTAACTGGCCAGACACACCTGGATTAATCAGTTCGTCCAGTAATGAAAGACAGGAAACAAAGGAGCTGCCTTAAATTCAGGAAGTAGTGGAGCTGTGCATAGAGCCCATTATGCTGAAAAACGCTGGCACACATAGGCATGCTCAAAATTTCCTGACGGACACCAGCGTATGCTCATACGTGGGACATATGTTACAAGTAAGTTATTTGATCATTGACATACGTTAAGTGTTAGTTACTCATAAGTCGTGGAGTCCAGCTTATCCAAGACCTATGAGTAACTTGTGCATAACTTATGCGGAACTTATCAAGAACTTATCTCACACAAAGGTGAGTTGCTGCAATATATTTGATTTGTTCCAGACGACCGCTGTACATGTTTCTAACTTACAGCTACTGTTTAATAGCGTATTGGCAGCGTTTTGGTATGAAAGGGGGTTCACAGGAGGGAACTGTCAGTTCTCCTCCAGACTTCATCCACATCATATGGTGAGCGAGAAGGTGAACGTGATGGATCCTCCCTGAGTTCATGGCCACGACCAAGAAACTTCCTAGCAGACATGATGCTGAATCTGCTGCGACTGCAAACCTTTTTTCTTTTTTTTGGTGGGCAATAAACGGCAGCTAGGTTAATACCGCAATCAAATACATCTTTTTATCCAGACCCTTAGCCACCGGGCGCAACGCTGCCACCCTCAGGACACTGGCTTGTGCATCATTTCATGGGCATTACACTGCCATTTGTTATGCATAAGTTAGGCTGTTGTTGGACATAAGTTCTGGACTATTAATATGCTATGTAGACACCCAACATTGAAAAAATACATAGAAAGTTGAGCGTATGACAACGCGTTAAGTGATTCTGGGACGTCAGGCATAAGCTGGCAAAATCGGCAAGGTGTGACAGGGCCCTTACAGACTATTGATCTACATCACCAAACATGCACAATATTGTCTCATCTGCCTTGATTTACATATGAGCTTAAGTGACATTACATTCCAAAGGGGTTCAATGACGTCAACAGCTACAATAGCTACAACTCTTCTGGGAAGGCCGTCCATCAGGTTTAGTAGTGTTTATTGGAATTTTGGCCATTCTTCCAGAAGTGCATTTTTGAGATCACACATTGATGTTGCACAAAAAGGTGTGATTCTGAGTCTCTGCTCTAATTCTTCCCAAATGTGTTCTGTCAGGTTGAGGTCAGGAGTCTATGCAGGTCAGTTATATTCATCCACACCACACTCTGCCATCCATGTCTTTATGGATCTTGGTTTGTTCTCTGTTGGAACAGGAACAGGCCAGCTCCAACAGTTCCCATAAATTTGGGAGCATGGGATTATCCAAAATGTCTTGGGATGCTGAAGCATTCAGAGTTCCTTTTACTGGAACTAAGGGACCAAGCCCACTTCCTGAAATCAACCCCACACCATAATCTCCCCACCACCAAACTTTATACTTGGCACTACAATAAGACAAGTACCGTTCTCCTGGCAACCGCCAAACTCTGACTCATCCATCAGATTTCCATATGGAGAAATGTGATTCCTCACTCCAGAGAATCAATCTCAACTGTGCTGCAGTCCAGTGGTGGCCTACTTTTACATCACTGCATCCCACATTGCATTGTACTTGCTGATGTATGGCTTGGATGCAGCTGCTCAACCATGCAAACTCATTCCATGAAGCTCCCTGTTCTTGAGCTAATCTGAAGGCCTCATGAGGTTTGGAGGTGTGTAATGACTGAATCTGCAGAAAGTAACCTGTTCGTACTATAAGCTTCAGGATCTGCTGAACCGACATCAGTTTATCTGGGCTTCAACTTCATGGCTGAGTTGCTCTTCTTCCCAAGCACTTCAATTTTCATATGATACAGCTGACAGTTGATGGTGGAATATTTAGGAGTGAGGAAATTTCATAACTTTCAATTTGTTGCACATGCCGCATCTATCACAGGTCCACGCTGGAGTTCACTAAGCTACTGAGAATGACCCATCCTCTCACTGTTTGAAACAGCAGTCTGCATACCTAGCTGATTGATTTTATACACCAGTGGCCATGGGAATGATTAGAACACCCCATTCCAATAATTTGGATGGATGGGTAAATACAATGTATACAGACTTCGTGAAGTGAACGGGCTAGTAAAATCTAAACAAAATCTAGCTCTAAAAAAGGAGAAAAACATTAATGAAAAATATGTTGGAAATACTATCATCTGTTTACATAGCATATTTTCCATATTGTAAATTCAGTTGAAATTGTATTTATTGCACATAAAACAATGATAGGCAGTGAAGTGAAACTCTGGATTTGAGCCAGTAGACCTACTCAGGAAGAAGGGTGTGTAAAGGTTTGGCACGGGGTTTAATTTGAGTCCAAGAGTCTCATAGCATAATGGATGAAGCTGTGGTGGAGCCTTGCTGCTTTGCTCCACTGTTAGTTTATTCTCTGACCTAAAGGCAAAACCAGTTTATAGTTCTGAGTGGAGATGCTGTTGATAATACTCTGGGTTCTGGTCAGGAAGGATCTTCTTGTAATATTTTGAATCAGAGGAAGAAGAGTCCCAGTAGGTTATGTTTTTAGAATAATTTGTACACAATTAACTTAAGACAATATAATTTATTTAGAATGTTAATTTCTATTGGTTGATTGGTTTGTGTTAATTGGAATGTGGTGAGTGATAATATCCTGAGCATGAATTTCCAAATCCACCCCTGAATTGTGCTGTACCATTTCTGTTTTAGGATAACCGATTAAATAGTGCTCTATGCCATCTTTAAAGCCTGGAATATTGCTTTATAGCTACCAATGCATTCAACTTCACTGTACTCCCAGCCTGCTGTGTCTGTTCCTTTGTCTTCAGGATGCTGTTAGTTAACTGATCTGACAAATGTTTGAGGTTTTCACAAAACAAGTGAATACAATTTAATTAAACACATTTATAATTTATCTGCCTAATAACTTGCTTATTGTGGCCAGAGGAAAAACATTTCTTTTCACTTTATAATGACATAAAATGGAAACAATAAGGTTTGCTTGGTCAAGATGAGTAGGTAAGATTAAGGCTCACCCAGGGAGTCCCAGGGATCTGTAGCTCCAGCTGCTGCCTGCTGTGAAGTATTATTCCAGCGAATGTCACTGGGTGGTGCATCTGCAGGTACTGCAAAAATGTCAACCAGGTCCATGAAGGCGGTCTGAGGACATAAACAAGAGAATCAAATATGTATTAAACCGTTATTTTAGAACAAAAGCCAGATATTGTTTTGGTAACAAAAATATCACATTTGAAGTTATCTGGCACTTCTTCCTGTAACAAAATAAAATGTCAAAACTTTTCATACCCCTCCTCTTCCAGCCATTTCACGTTTGCTCTCCTCCAAAGCTTTTTGGAGATCAGTATCATCCCCTCTGCGGCTCAGCTGCTCCTAAAAATGGATATGGACACATGGGTGCCTTCGAGCAAAGCGGCTTTCGGCAAAATGCACATATTGTCTTGCCATGCTATATTTATGACTTTATTATCCCGAGGCAGACTATGCACACAGTTGGCGCGCACTCTAGACCATTGCATGAATGTATGTTAGCAGAGATGGACAAAAACCGAAGACAAATATCTAGGATGCGAGGCTCATACAAATAAATCAAAAACGTCAAAATTTTAAAGCCTCAAATGTTGAATAGGGCATTAAAAGTTGGTTAAAACTTCAATTGTGGTGAGTACCTGTTGGTGTTCCTCCTTGCTCAGGCTCAGAGCTAGTTGGAGCTGGGCGTCCTCGTCCATTTCCACGACGGGAGCTGGTGCACGTTTGACTGACTGTAAGAAGAATTAAGCATTATTCCAAGAATGATCAGAGCAAAAACAAAGCTTGGACATCCAGTTTGTTAATTCTGCATGCAATTCTACTGGATAGGCATTCAAATAAAGGGGAAGGGCTCAATCCTTTCAACAGCAGACCAGAGTATCTGGCATGTGTACCTCAACCAAATGGATTTACAAGACGAAATATATGGGTTAGTTATAAAGAGGTAAGAGAAGTAACTCTTTGGAGAAAGATGGCCTTTTCCGGTTTTAAAGATGACTAAACGATGGGTATTATGAACCACAGCTATAGGGAAAGGAAAGGGGGATAGTGCATGGAGTTGGCCGTTGCAGAGCAACGGGTGAAGTGCAGCAAGACAGAGGCAGGCTCATCCCGCATCCAGGTTTACTTTTACCTTCTGGGCCTCCTCTTTGCTGAGTTTCATTGCGATTTGGAGTTGAGTCTGTTCATCAATATCCACTGTGGGAGGTGGCTAGAGTCAAGCAGGAAGGATTAGGAGTAAAACTGATCAGAGGGTTTATACAGGAATTAGTAACTCTAATTTTATGTTTTATAAAACATGTCGATGGCATTATTTTAATGCCATCAACAAATACCCATGACTCCAATACAATTTACCATCGACAGGCTGCAGCCATTTCCCTAATTCCTCGTTTTCCAGCCACCTTTGTTGAAATTTGCATTTTCCCCCCATTCTCTAGCTCTTTCCCCGCCTCAAGGTTCTTTTCCAAACATACGGCTTAACAATCAACCTGAAGCAGTTCCGCGCAAACACATATATTTATATCTAATATATCTGACGAAAATAAAGCATTTTAAATGCCACGATAATCACTTTTAAAGAATTTTAATGCCAATTAAGGCCTTAATTTAAAAAATTATAATTTAATGACTTTCAATGATTTTTAATGACCAACGGAAACCCTGGATCAAAGAGTGATATTTCAGGTGTGCTAATTCTGAGCTCAATGGGACATAATTTCAATAATGCAATAATAAGTATCTTGTGATAAAAGGAGTAAATACAAGCCGATACATTTCTGATTCAAAAAAAGCTTCCATTATTTAAATTCTGCTCCAAATTCTTTTTGGCGTTAACTAGAATATCTATGTTTTAACAGAGATAAAACTCTCTAACTCTGCCCTTGACATAAAGACTAATGCAGAGTGTGGGACTATGGATCGATGCACATTTCCTGTTTGACTTCTCGCTCGCTCACTCTCAGATTACTCATTCAGCATCGCTCACACGGATTGGTCAAAGTTCCATCACTGATAACACACAAGTGTGCCATTCTCATCTCACTAGAAAACTGTGGCATAGACCACGAGCAGAGGAATGAGAGTGAGCAGGAGCCGTTTAATGTTTCATGAGGGTGAAGCAATTTCAAAAGGCAGCACTGCAAAAGAAATCTCTTTCTGGAAGACGTGTGCTTGTGTGTGTGTGTTTGTATGTATTACGTCCTTTAGAGATACCTTTTCACTTTCTTCTCGGCTCATAGCCAGAGCCAGCTGCAGCTGCAGCTCCTCTTCTCCACTAGATGCTGGTATGGCTTGTTCGAGGTCTGGATCAAGATGAGATGAAGTGGAGGCAACAACGGAGGCTATAAAACAGTACAGCAGAGAGATTAGACATTTTAAGAGGAATGGGGAATGTGCGGTTTTAGGAAGAATTTACGAATTCAAAAAGAAGGGGAAAGGAAAAATAAACCAGATTTTAAGGTCAGGAAAGAGCAAGCTCTGTTGTTGCATGTTAATTTTCCATTGCTTTTTGTTCAGAGCCTTAGCTGGCATGGCTCGCTGCAGCCTGCCCGGTTCTGCCTGCACTGAAAACAATGACGCTGCTGTGTAGTGAGAGAGGTTGCTGGTGGGGGAGAGGAATAGATGCATTGGATTTGGAGTTAGGCCCTCTTCAATACCCCAAATCTTCTTAGAGGATCGCAAGACGCATGTGTAGATTTGGGGAACTGACTGGCGGTGGTATACCAGTCTGTGTGCCAGACTGGGGGTCACTGGGCTAAAATAGGGAAGTGGAATGCATGTTGGCAAACTAAGGTCTCTGAGGCCAATTACTTGCTGGGTGCTGCTCCTCAATATCCCTAGTCTGATCCACAATATTTGCTGGAAATTAACTTATGCCAACTTGTCACTATTACGTCATCCATCAGCATTTCAGCTGCTGAGAAAATAGCAAACACAGACATTTCAAATACATGGAATTGTTAATAAAATTCAGCACATGCAAAACACAATCTTCCATGTTAGAAACACTGAAAACTAAAAGCTATTTCCTCCAATCGTTTCTCCAGCTATTTCAAACTCTCTGTCCCCTGAACTGTTCTAATGGGAGCGTGTTTAATAAGTAACTTAGACCCTTTGGAAATGTGAACCATTTTCTTTGTTATGGACCATTGCTCTTTGAGCATCTACTCATGTCTAAACTGTTGAGAGTGACACACAGTGAGTGACTGTTTGTGATTTTTACAATGATCGTTTATGTGGTTTGCTGCAAATTAATTGCCCGTTGGAATCAATAAACTTTTCTGAATCTGAATCTAATAGTCCTATGCAGGGCCTAAGTAACATAGGCTTTACAAGTGGAAAGTTTATTAGGACAAAAAAAATTAAGATACTCCCTTAATATCAGATNGAGACAAGCTGAAATATTCACTGTTGAGCAAAGTAGGGTTTTATGAACCCAAACGCTGCTAAAACATCCTCCATAAACACCCTATAATCTGCACAGATGCCGAAATATAATCTATATTGTGAAGCAAACAGTTTATAAAAGATCTTTACTTTTCACATCATGTGTTTTGCCGCTAGACATGTTTTGATTTGCTGATAATGAAATAAGTACTAGGCTTTAAAAACAAACTGTAGTTGAATCACACTAAATGGTCAATGGAGTTCAATATGTACCTGTCATTTAAAACATGTTGAAATAGTTATCTATTATTGCCTTAAATAGTTTTTACTAGAGGTAGACTGACCAATCGGCAAGCCCATATTGATGGCCAACATTAACATGTTTTTTTTATATCAGCCAATAGCTGCATGCATTTGCTGATTCATTAGTGCATTGAGCAGCCATGCCCTTGAGATCATGAAATGCATGCATTGCCACTCCCTCCACTTGCTATTCATTGTTCATATATTTTCATTTAAATTATTAGTTTCCTTATGTTTAAATTAACTCTTGTCTAAACATTCATTCTTATTTGATCAGGTCTCATTTTACTAATATAAAATGTCATTTTCTGTTTAGTTTATGATAAACATTTTTTATTTGTATTGAAGGAAAACGAAGAATTAAAAAAAAAAACTTTATAGCTGCATCTAAGAAGATAAGATAAAATTAATAAAATAGAATTCCATCAATAAAGTAATCAAACGAAGCCCCACCTTAATTTCCTGTGTTAGATTTATGCTAATATGGAGGACATCACCCTAAAACTATCAAAGATTTAATCACTGGTTATCTAAAATTGGGTGTGATGGGTGTGGTTTTGTTAACTTAACAATAAACTTGGTGTTAACTTTACTATTTACTCATGTGTTTCTTATATGAGTAAGTAAAGGAATACAAATACAGCACCTTCAATGTATTTATGTTGTTTGTGTGTGAATAAAAGCAAAGTAAGGTATAGTTGTACAGAAGTAGAAAAAAATTAGACAAGGAGTTAAAAATAAAAGAAAAACAAGAAAATAGATTAGCAATTTATTTTTGTTCAGCCTCCAATACGCCAATATCTGATGCTGAATTTAACCAACTTCCTTTAGTAGTCAGCTAATATGAGAATCTATAGGGTAAGTATTGATAATGAACTTCACAAATGTCCTCTTTAAGGAAGAGTAACACAGGAAAAAAAGTGTAAAATTCCCCTTTAAGGAAGAGTAACACAAAAAAAAAATTAGGCTAGAGTTTACAAAAGAAACTAAGTCCAGTTTGCCGTTTTGCACAAGTAAAGTTCTGCAAACTGGCAAAATGTGGACAGTGTTCTGGTTAGAAGATACCAAAACGGATTTTTCTTCTAGATTTTAAAAAGGATATAATGTATTTGGTGCAAACTAACTTTGCAAATGTCCCTAAACACTCCAGTTGCCACAGTGAACCGTGGTGATGGGAATACCTCTTCAGCAGGGAGAGACAAGGCTCATGAGAGTTAATGGGGGGAAAAAATCTGTAAAGAAAATGTCAGAGGATGCAAAAGACATAAGACTGTGCCATAAGTTCTCTGGCTCAAACCCTGAGCCAGAGCTACAATATAATGCAAAGTGAAAAATGTCCCTATTAAAGTCTTGAGACAAATATAATTTTGAACTTGTGGCAAGATTTTGAAACTAATTTTGACAAACCAACTCAATATAACTGGGCGTGAGCTTTGTTGGAAAGAAGAATGGGCAAACATTTCAGTCTCTTATGGCCTAATCAAAGATCACAAAAAAAAGAGTAATAAACTGCTTGTGCAAACAAAAAAAACGTCATGTAGCTAATGGATGTGTCACGGCTGACCTGTTAGGACTATATACTGTATACACAGAAAAGTTTGAGTCGAAAGGTGAAACTGTACAAAGCTGAAGAAGCCATAGCAGAAGTTGGGATACTGTGAGTGGAGTGTTAAGCCTCCTTTCTGACCAAGGAGTAGGTTTGATCACCCTTCCTTCAAATCTGGAGTTGTCTGGTCGGGGTCTGAGTTTTAACAAGTTTTAACAAGTCCAGAGGTTCTTCCCATCTTGCCCATTTAAATCAGAATTTTGTGTGTGAAACTGTTTGATGGAGCAGAGTGGACTATTTTGGACATCCCATCTGCAGACTGAAATAGAAACAGCACTGTGCAAAGATGGCAAGTATGATCGCAATATGGAGAAGATCTAGGCAGAGAAGAAAAGGAAAGGAAAGAGGACCTTCCCTGAAATGAAATGGAAAAAATTATCAGATGACTTGGTAGAGGAGCCGCTGGAATCTGGATCATTCCAATCGTCTCAACCAGTCAAGGTCATCGTTCAGATTTTTGAAAGCAATGTCACTAAAAAGAAGTCTGGGGTTTTTATAGATGCAAAATGTCTGTTTTCTTTTATCAAAGAAAATATTACATGTTTTAGCTTTAAAAACAAGAGAAAAAAGTTGGTTTGTCAATTGAATGATAATGACAAAACAAACGACACATCTTTCATTTTCTCTAAATAATGACCAGCATTCCTGATGCATAACTTGAATAGCAAGAAAGACGGTTGAAATTAGCCGCCATGGGTTATGCATTGTTAGTGCCACGGAAATGTGAACAGCGGCCTTAAGATAGCAACATGCAAAAAGAAGATTTAATTCATAATATATTAAGATAACACTTTTTATAATGATTAACACAGAACAAGCCCATCTTCTGTGGGAAAAAGCCCCTTCATATTTACTAGTGCTGCGGTTCTTTATAGAAATTATTTCCATTTACAAAAAAAAAATAGTTTTTGCAAGGTATTTTACAACATGACCCTATGATTATAACAAAAAGAGAGGGTGAACAAGTGAGGCACAACATTCCCATATAGACCCCCAATTCCTAAAATGAATCTGGCAAAGCTAGACAGCAAACTACTCTGGGAAATGGTAAGCTGGGATAATCTATCCAGAAGTAAGTGTTGCCAGAAATTTTCCATAGGAGATACTGTATGACTTCTACTTGCAACCATCCCCATTATTCCATTCATTGCGCAACATTGTGTTGAACTAATTTTATTTTCTGACAGTCCAAATATGTTGACGTGTGCACAGAATATTCTCCATCTCAAGTTTGTTAATGCATCTTTGCCTTCTCATCAAAATTACCAAGGACATTTTTAAGTTTGCACCTGACTATAAACCATCTAACTACAGATGAGGAACCTGTACCCATAACCTGTTATAGTTTGATAAATCACACTGCCACTTACATGGTAAGTAATTACAGTTTTTGCACGTTCTGACAATTATTCTGCATATTCATGTAGGTAAAACACGACGAATAGATACAGCCTGCAGTTCTGCTTACTTTAGTGAAGAGATCCATGGTGCCACTTGATTAGCGGTGAGTGTCTTTATAGACAGAAATCTTTATTAAGTCAGACTATAAATGTGCAAACCTACAGCTGTGATCCTAACGAAAGGTGGTACGACAAAGAGTTCACTCTGGGTGGCTAAATATATACGCATACCGTTCTTCGTAAATCATTTTGAAAAAAAAACATCCAATATTGTCCTTCCTTTTAACAAATATACTCCACTTTGTGTTGCCATTTATCTCAACATCTCAATGAAAGTAGTCTGTGTTTGTAATGAGTAAAGTTCAATACATATGTGTACTTTTAACTAGGTACCGTGCATCCCCTAACCAGGGTTATAATAGCAGTGTCATCTCAGCTGGGGTTTCAAACCGAGGGACACCTGCTGGGCCCCTTTCTTTTGTAACTCCAGTTTAGCTGACATGACGGTTAAGGAGAATGAAAGGAATGTAGATGTCCAACTGTGATGGGATGGTCTGACTGACATTTTACCATAACAAGTGCAGCAAGTGCTTCATCAACACTTCCTGAGGTGTAAATATCAGACCGAGATGCTGGTATCACAATAAAATCCAGTAGGCATAAAGATTAACATGTGATGGGTCAGCAGAAAAATATAAGTACTTTTAAGATTCTGACAACAAATGATGGCATCTATCTAATGATATTTTGACTTGTCATGTGTGCATTCCTTCACGGTGACAGGTCACATGCTGCAGGAAACATTCTGGAATATTTCAGTCAGTATTTATCGGGTTATATAACTTCTCCAAGTAAGTATGTTTGTGTTTTGTAAAGGTTGACGCTACTCACGGCTGAATGATGATGAGCTTCCGCATGTGTTGAAATCATCCCCACTGAAGCGTCTTGAGTATCCAGCACTGCTTCTGCCCACCCGTGCCTTAGTCTTCTGTGCACTGCTCCTTTCGCTCTTCAGCTTGGCGTCGTCTTTCAACAAAGCCACCAGTTTCTTAGACTTCTCCCTGACATGGATACCTTGGTCATGTCCATCTCGGTCAATGTACTGGAAGTCTTTAAGCGTCTGGATGGTGATAATGTTGTCCCGGCAGGCTTTGACCACACGCTCAGAGCCCGTTTTGACTAGGTAGTCCAGTAGTGTCAATGCTTTGTAAACATGGCGCCAGTTTTTGCCGTGATCGTTCAGCCTCTTAAAAATCATTCCCATGACTTCAGTGAAGGCCACCACATTGTAGGTGAGGTCTGAAATGTCAGACATGAGAGATGCAGAGGGTCCCCAGGGGTCGTTGGAGGTGGCCTCCCGGACCTTGATCTCTGCCTCCGTGTAGTTATTGACCATGTTTTTCACCTGCCGGCGAAGCGATGAACTCTGCATGGTGACTGCTTTGTTTCACTTTCGGCAAAGGGGAGAATAAAAGGCAAGAAAGTCCAGTGCTTTTGGGTGAGGGGGAATTTCAGTTCCGCAGAGAAATGCAGGACAGTCGACACAACTTGGCAACTTCAGCGATGTCAACAACTGCTGTCCTGCTGGGGAAAAAAAACACAAACTTAATTTAATCTGTTGCATTGTTAGCAAGGTAATCCCATCAGGTTGTACACAAGTGAAACTAACTGATGTCATTCTCAGTTAAGAATAACTAAAAGGACAAAGGTGTAACTGAACACCTTTTGTAAAATAAAAAAACAAACTGCATTTCCTAAAGCCTTTTTGAAAGGTTTACTATAAACTTTTCTTTCCATTTTAAATGCAACAATTAGCCCATTGCGTAGAAAACCACATAATGTGATGATATAAGAACCTTTGCTTTACCTGTGAGCCTTATCAGAAAGGGGAGGAACTGATCCTCCCTGTTGTTCTAGTTTGATTACATCAGAGCAGCAAATATAGAGTTACGATTTTTGGAAATTCAAAAACCTTCAGAGACTAAATCTTAAAGGTGGTAAGCCACTTTTTCTCAGGGATTATTTTGTCTACACTGATAAAGTTTTTTAAACAAAGCAGAAACAGTTTGTTCTAACAGAAGGAGTTATTTGGAACTCATACAAGAATCTTTTTCCTGAAAATAAAGGATAACAAATCCAAAGATTATGTCTTATATGATTTAAAACGTATAATAATACAATTAATAAGATTAAACATTAGTAAGAGTGAAGTGGGTAGCAGCAGTGGCCGCATGTTAAATCCTAAAACCCAAATCTCCAAACTGCTACAGACAACATGCCTTAAATCCGGATTAAAACGAGCTGGTCCTTTAAAGAAGCTGCTCCTTAGATCTAATAAGGTGGACAGATTATGTTTGAATACATCTAGTAACCCTAAAGAGCTTAAATAGGAGGTAAAGTCTCCTTCAGGCCTTATTTGACATCTAACCTGAGTGCCTCAGTGACAGGTTCTGGTGCCTTGATTTAGACATTTGCATTTCAGAACAGTTTAACCAAAGTTTCTATGGAATTTAAACACACTGAAACAAGAAAATTGTTTAGAAATACTCCCCCCTCTAAAAAAAATATAAAGTACTCAATCTTCGTTTGAAGCGATATTTTTCTTATGAAATAAATCATTTAGTAAGTAATTAAAATCATGCTCAAAGAACAGTGTTCAGGTTGCTTTTAAACAAACGCGCAGTAAATTTGACTCATGCGTCCTTTCCGTCCCAAACCAGGACGGCGAATTGGTGCCATTGTGCGTCAAGTGGGACGATCGCGTAGGTGGAAGTATGTGACGGTGACTCAGCTGTGATTCCGAGTTCAAAAGTTAGAAAATCAAAGAACCTACGCTAAAAAAATAAGCAAATTACCCACCGAGATTCAGTTAATTCCTCCCATTTCTCCGCTCTTACCTTCAAGTCATTGCGCGTCAGCAGGGTCCCAACTTGGGGAGGATTTAGGTGGAAAGAGAAAGGTCCCCGCCTCTCTGCATATCCCGTAGCTGCTACTCGGACAGGAAAAAAACTAGTATGGCTGTTTAAAAAAGCGCAGGGGGGAGAGAAGGGAAGCAATCGGGGCAAATTGATCACTAATAAGTGTTTTCCAACTAAAGTTGTGCGCGCATCTTTCAAACGCACGCAGTGAATCTGCAGATGACAGACACACAAACACACCAAGTTAAAAAAAAATGGATGGAGAGCAGAGTGAGAGGGGAGGTGGGAAGAGGGAGGAGTGCTCAGTGCATGCAGAGTCAGACTTAACTCTTTCATGGCCTGCAGGGGAAGCATCTGATCTGAATGAAGCAGGTGATCATTCTAAGAAATGAATCCCAGCCAGGATTAAAATGGCTGGGAAGCTTTAGGCCTGTTGGGGCCCACTAGCATATATGCATCTCTTTTAATAAGAATACAATGAGGAAGTTTATTATAGTTTAAATTGATTAATTAAACAAAGAATCATTTTAAGCGTTAATTATGGTCATAATGATGCAAAGAAAACTGCTTATTTGACATATGTCCACCTGACAATCATGGACACTCTCCACAGTAAGGGTAAGCCACATAAGGATATTACTAAGTTAGCTGGCTGTGCACAGAGTGCTTTATTCAATCACATTAATGTAAAGCTGAGTGGAAGGAAACAGTGGAGTATAAATGGTGCAATATGCAACAGAAAGCTTTATTTGGAAGCACAGTGTCATCTGTTGGTGGTGGTCTGGTGTGTATTTTAAAATCCTTAGTTCTTTCAATTGCCTGCAAGGACAATTTTAAAGCCCTCCATGTTTCTTTCTGCTGACAAAATGAAAGGTTCATCTCAGCAGGACTTGGCACTTGCTCATGCTACAGAAATGCTCAATACCTGCTTTAATGTTTATCCAAAGTGCTTTTGTATCCCTCACATCAGAGCTCTGACTGAGCACAAATACCAAACGAGTTATGGACCACAAATAGTAAAAAAAGTTCAATCTGAAGAGAAGCAGTTTTAATTTGGTGTTATGTATCAGAAAATACTTGTTCCTGTTTAGCTGTGACACTATCCTGGAGACAAATGTCAGCTGTGCTGCGCTGCCATCAACACCTTTGTTTATAGATGTTGGAGCTAGGCCTGCTTTTTAGTGTATTCCTGTTTCTTTGACTGTGACTAGCTGGATGTGCTCTCTTTCATCTTCTGACATGGGAGCTGGCTCGGAGCTCGTCTGCCTGGCTGTGTGTTTCCTGTACGGGTCCGCCTGTGGAGCTGGTTGACAGTTGCCTTTTGATGGCTCACACTGAGTCTGATTCTGCTGGAGGTTTCTTCCTGTTAAAAAGGAGTCGTTCCTCNATATATATATATATATATATATATATATATATATATATATATATATATATATATATATATATAACCTTGCTAGCAAGTTTAAAAAGGAGGCCATTGTGCTTCTTAACTGCCCTATACCCCCCTCGTCCTTACTCGTGCCCCTGTAAACTGGGCAGGCTTACATCAAACAGTTAAATAAAATGCCTGTACACATAGACTCACCTTAGGGTTTGAAATTAAATCTTTCCAATAAAAAAGTTCAATCTGAAGAGAAGCAGTTTTAATTTGGTGTTATGTATCAGAAAATACTTGTTCCTGTTTAGCTGTGACACCATCCTGGAGACAAATGTCACCTGTGCTGCTGCCATCAACACCTTTGTTTATAGATGTTGGAGCTAGGCCTGCTTTTTAGTGTATTCCTGTTTCTTTGACTGTGACTAACTGGATGTGCTCTCTTTCATCTTCTGACATGGGAGCTGGCTCGGAGCTCGTCTGCCTGCCTGTGTGTTTCCTGGACGGGACCGCCTGTGGAGCTGGTTGACAGTTGCCTTTTGATGGCTCACACTGAGTCTGATTCTGCTGGAGGTTTCTTCCTGTTAAAAAGGAGTCGTTCCTCTCCACTGTCGATAAAAGCATGATTGATATAAGGGATTGCCTTTGAGTCAATGAGTTGATGCAATCAGCTGGTTCTCCTTAGATAGAAAGTTTTGAATCAATTTGACTGTATGATCTGGTTTAATTGTCTCTGTAAAGTGCCTTGACATGACATGTGTTGTGAATTTGAGCTATATAAATAAACTGAACTGAATTGAAGCAGAAAGAGGTAAACAATCACAGGAACTGTGATCTCTATATTTCATAGAACACATCCTCTACTTAGCTATAGATATAACATTTCATGTGAATGTAAAACAATGCAGCGAAATAAACCTGTCAATGTCTCAGGCAGGTTATAAAAAGAAAAGTACAACAGCAGTTTAGCACACCTCCTAGAAATCCCCCAGAAAAAACACATTTCATCATTAGCAGCCTCATCTTTGCCTTTCTGCTCTTTACTTATTTACTGGAGATATTGTGACGTTACATCTTTAAGATTAAATATTCATCTAAAATCTTTTTTAGGTATATGCATTCATTTGGAATTGATGAAACAATTAATCTGAAGGAAGGTTGTTTACAGGAAAGATTAGGAGGATCAGGTTGTCATCTTGAGTAAGAAAATGATTACCTAAGTGAGGAAGAATAAGCTGCAGGAGAGATGACTGCCACTGACTGAGCAGGATATACAGGAAATACCAGCTCCACCTTGAAACAACAGACATTCTTTGAGACAACCGAAAAGGCCATAGTGTACAGCGATTAGTTTCAAGCAAATCAATAAAACAGAATCCCAGGACGTTTTCTAGCTCTCGGAGTTTGACATATCTGAGTATTGGTGTGTGAATCCCTCAGCAAACTCTGGCTCCAACTTTTATTTTTATTTTGAAAGGAGTCTTAATGATCAGATTAGTCCAGCTCAGCTTTGCACAACTCCTCCTTCCCTCCCCTTCTTTATCTTGGCGCTCTCTGTCTTTATTTCTCCTCAAAACAGATGCCTGGACATTCTTTGTTTCCCAACAAAAGCGTGATGAGGTCAGAGCAGGGCGGACATGCAGGCAAGGTTTGAGAGGAGGAGGAGGAACAGGGAAGAAGGGTTTGTCACAGGTCCCAAGCAGGGGAAATATCACTTCTTGTTTGCATTGCATAATATTCTGCTTGGATTTAAAGCTCCTTTTAGATTTATAAGCAATCCTTCAATATTTTAAATAATTGATTCTAGATAATAATGTATGTCCCAAACAATTAAATACAAGAATTAAACATATTTAAGGTTCTATGTTTTGAGTGGCTTTTTATTAGATTTTAAATTATCTGTATTTGGAACAAAAGTGAACCTAAACAGTCTCACACAATCTCACATTTCACCCTAACATCCAGTGTGTTTTATTACTGCCCTCTAGTGGTGGTTCACATATTTTCTGTGAAAGTCCTTGGAAAAATCCATTCTAAGAGATCTTTGATCCTGTTATTATGGGAACTATTTTTAATTCAAATTCTTTATATCCAATGTTGGTTGAATACAAATCTACAGAGGTCAGGGTTGAGGAGAGCAACAATAACCATAAAAAAACAAGCTGTACAAGAATATGACCCATCAACAACTCTCAGCTCTGAGAAAAACAAAAGTCGACACAGTATTCTAGTTCACATATTGGAAAAAAGAAAATCTGGCCTTTGATACTACTTTTGATTTATTACAAAGCAGTGGTGAGGCCATCTTAATTCTAGAATTGGTGAAAACATCCACACCTTAGGTAAGATAATTTATTAACCAGACCAGAACTTGTGTTCAAAGTTGGTAGAAGACTTTGCAAACCCACAGAAAGAAGTACTCTGGCCAGATGAGATATAAACTGAACGCTTATGTGTCTTGGAAAACTGCAAATCCCCCTCAACCTAAAGGTTTGCAGAACGCATTATGCTGTTGCAATACTTTTCCTCAGCTAGCTGGTTAAAGTTGAGAATGGTGGAACTAAATAGAGGACAGCACTGGTTTTAAAAGGCCATAAGAGCAGCACAGAGCATCCTCTGGTTTGACCTACCAGCCATCAGTCACACAGGGGAAGATTTACCATTAGGCAATACTAGGCAGTTGCCTCATAAAACTTTGTTTGGTTTATGTATGGTTAATACAACTATTCATTATTTGTGGACATTAAAGATGTTTAAAATTCCTTTCACTAAAATGCCATCAGAAACCTTATAATATTAGGTGTGTCTCAGAACACACTTTAACACTAACTGTTGACACTGATTAGAAACCCTGTTACAACTTAACTGACAAGAGTTTAAGTGAAGTGTTATTATATTCTGGTTAAGAAGATTTCCCTCAATTTTTAAAACAGTGATACCCTCTTAAAAACCTGCTGAACTGAATGGGTTACATCACAGCATACATTGGAGAAAAACAAATGATTTATATCCACTGTTCAATATTTACATGTACTTATTTTACTTATAATACTCACGTTTCCAGCTCTTTTATTTACTTGTTTATTTATTCTTGCACATACTGACTTGTTTGATTTATCCTTTAAAGTTTCTGACTTCCTCTGTTGTTCACTTCCCCTCACTTAGAACTTGCTTATAACTTTTCCTCCCACATAGATGCAGACCTTCGGTGCCCCCTACACTTCTTCACTACTATCCCACTTTATTTTTGCTCAATTTCTGACTTATATTTACTCATTTTGCAAATATATTCATTGTGTTTGCCACACTGTTACAATGCTTGGAAACATTATCCATTGCATTTAGAAAGTTTTCACATTGCTACACATTTTCCAAATTTAGTTAGGTTGCAGCCTTATCGTTCATTTAATTTCTTTTCTCAACATTAGACACAGTACCACCATTTTGAAAATGTAAAAAACATATTTTAGAGATTGTTAGAAATCTATTAAGAATATTAAAATTTTTAAATTTACATAAGTATTCATAGCCTTTGCTTAATCCTTTTTTGATCAACGTTTGTAGCAACTACAGCCTGAAGTCCTTTTGAATATTATGCCATTTCATGCCACCTATCATAAGGTAGTTTGGTCCATTCTCCTTCGTATTGCATCTCAAACTTGTTTTGGACTTAAGACGAATATGTAGTTGAATTCAATGTCTAGACTCTGGGTTGGCCACTCCAGGATATTGAAAAAAAGGGTTCTGAAGCAACTCCTTTAAGATCTTGGCTGTGTTTGTTCAGGATGTCTCTATACTTTGCTGCACTGATTTTACCTCTATTATGACTGGTCCGCCATTTCTAGCTGCTAAAAAAAAGGAGACCATAGCATGATGCTGCCACCACTGTGCTATAATGCAGGGATGGGATTAGCCTGTTAATGAGTTTTAACCACAGTTGGCGGATTGGTTGGCCAGTCACCTTGCTATAGAAGGTAGGTACTGATTAATGATGGATGGATGGATGGATGGATGGATGGATGGATGGATGGATGGATGGATGGATGGATGGATGGATGGATGGATCAGTTGATACATATACAAATAGAGAGAGATGAATGGATAGAGAGTTGTTTTTTCAGTTTTTTTAAAACTTCTTTAAACTCAGAATGTCCTTGATTTCTCTGCTCTGAAAAGCTTATTGATGTGAAAAATATCATTTTTTGTCACATGTTCTGGCTTCTGCAGTACACTGACAAAGAGCTTGGTGATGTCCTTCAGCATTCATTGTGATCCCTTCACTCTGAAATGTCTCTTTTCATCTAGCCTTGTTCTATTTCATGAGTACAGCCCCTTCAGCAAGAAAGTTGTGACACTGTGTAAATAGAAATTAAGCTTTGCAAAGTATTCTTAACTCTTTATGGAGGCTAAATTCATGATCTATACTAAAGATTTGAGAAAATACAAACATTTTTCAAAATGCCAGAATCAGTGGCATGCTTTACTCTCTAATGAGTCAACTTACATTTGTTGCCAATTTGTGTGTGAAGGATTTCAAACAACATTCATATATTTTGCCCAGAAAACAAATAGTCTTTGCAGAAAAATCATTTTCAAATCACATTTTGTGAGCATTACAAAGGAGAACTGGAAAAGAGTGTGTGGGTGGTAATCTTGCTGCAGTCCAGTTATTTATCAGCTTGTTGAGTGTCAAGCCTCATGCATAAGAAAAACAACTTTATTTAGTAACAAAAGGAAACATCTGTTAAGAAAATAGATCATGGGGAGTGTGTTTAATTATATACTGTCTATATGAAAATCAAATAAATTAACACATGTTTGTTTTAATATTTCACAGACAACATTCACAGAATTTCAACTTCTCTCAACATTCAGTTGCAAAATATTTTCATAATATCATGTTAAAGCTAGGAGTGCAACAAAGGAGTCATTCATTCTCAGGCTCTGTGAATCACAGAGCAGCCAGTCGTGATATTATAATATAAGGGGGCTTATGCAGAGGCAGAACTCAAGAGCCATAAATCTTTCAAAGCGCTTTTATTAGGGTGCAGTGGTGCTTGTTTGAAATTATCCATGTGATTCTAATATGTTCTCCAACAGTTAAATGTCATAACTAATGGGAAAAAACAAGGTAATAGAAAAGCAAAGGATGTTTGTCACCAAATCACGATTGCAGGATGGATGAGAGCATTGTAATCACTCTGAGCACTTCACAACCCACAGTGCAATATCTGCAGGGATTTGGAGCTATTAGACTTCTCTGCATCCATCAGAGTAAAAGCTATCCAATTATCCAAACTGAAACAGGAAAACATCTGCATGTTTGATGCTAAAAAAAGGTAGAGTGCGTTCAATTATAGGACTGTACCGGTCATGATAATTTACATCTTGGAGTGTTTGTTTCAGAACAAACTGTTCATATGCAAAATCTAACCCTGATTGGATCTGAACTCATTGGGTGTCCTGTCTACCTGTATTTCTAGATGTATCTGGGTATATTTTCCTCCAAAGTGATGTTTTTTTTCATAGGACATTATGGAGGTGATTCGTGCTTCTATAAAAGGCATACTTTATGAATCAGAGCGATGACGCAGAAACTGCATGCGCCCTCAGCGGGGGTATAAGAGATGGCACTCAGCTCTGTTGCATCGCACATATAAAGGAGAAGGGGAAACAGATCTACTGATTAGACTAATAGCTTCTCGGTAACACGATCCAAAGGGATGAACTCAACAGAGAAGTTCTACTTTCCCGTTGATGGCATCCTCGAAGTGTTCAACTCTTTTACCGGGCATCCCCAGCCACGAATTGCGCACCAAGCTCTGCAGAGCGCAGCTCTCATCCCGCGATTTCAGCCACCCAAAGTATCACACATAACTAAAACAGGTATGGGTATATTTAAAACTGTCAAAGGGTGCTGGAGACGGCAGGATAAGAGAGTGGTCTCCAGGAGATCTTTAAATTCTGGGCATCGGCAGATGTCGACTGATCGTCTCCCTAAAAAGCCGGTGGACCTGACAGAGTTGGGCGCTATGCAGCCTAAGAACTGCCAAAGAATTGTAGTACTCGGGGCGCCAAGAGTTGGTAAAACCAACATCCTCCGGCGGTTCTTGGGAGAAGAATATGAAGAACAATACGATCCAACTACTGAAGACTTTTACCGCAAGATGTTTCACATTGGAGGGGAAACATACCAGATCGACCTACTAGATGCGGCATCAGAGAGGGACTTCCCAGCAAAACGGAGACTGTCCATATTGACAGGTAAGAATGTTTAATAAAGTCAGTTTTCCACCATATATTGACGCCCTTTGATTAAACCATAATCAATCGGTTTGTCTCTACAGGTAATATTTTTGTCCTTGTCTTCAGCTTGGATGACAGAGACTCTTTGACTGAGGTCCGCGAGATGCTCAACGAAATTAAAGAAGCCAAGTCAAAATTACAAAAGTCCAACCATCTGGCTAGATTTCCAGCTGTGGTGTGTGCCAATAAAGCGGACCTTGACGCACAGAGAGTCATCAGCACCTTAGAAGTGATGGACATCCTCGGCGAGGACGCGCCTTTCTTTGAGATCTCCGCTAAAACAGGCGCCGGACTGGAGAGTACCTTTGCGGCTCTCGCCGCGCTCGGCGGGCTTCCCAATGAAATTAGCCCCTCTCTGCATCAGATCGTTCCCATCCTGACCTACCAGTCGATGTGCATTGGCAAGAGGGGCATGAGGAGGGGGAGGCACACGCGGGGACTCGGTGCTCCCTGCGCCGCAGTGGATCCCCTTGCGCAACGCCCGAGCTTCACCAGCGACCTGCGGCTGGTGCTTGGATCAAGCACCAAACACAAGAAACCCGAGAAGTGTCAGATTCAATGAATTTTGAAACTTCCCGACAAAACAAAATTGTAGTAGTATGCTGCAATGTCTTACATGTATGGAGTTATACTCCGTGGCACCTGGCCGGACCGGTGCGTTAAAGCGTGTTGTTTTTTTCTATTGTATTCTGTAACTGCATCATTTAATAAACGTTTGTTTATATTCTTGTGCTTGATTCTTGACCATAATCAAATTTTCAGTCCGTTAAAATAAGAATATGAGAAAAAAAGGCAGATAGCCTATGGTTATGAAGTGATGATGTAAAACCCATAGTGTGGGAGGGCGATCATCTGCGAGAGAGGATGACTCAAAACGTCTTCAAGAGCGGACTCAAGAGATTGTTCACAAATACAGATCGCCCACGATGCCCAGGGTTGGCAATGTGTCACAAGCAATGGTGTCTAATCAGCTGCGGTGGTTTACACACCAGAAACGTGCTTAAGGCATTATTTTATAAGCAGAGGAGGACAGAAGTGGAGAGCTAAGATGAGTTCAGCACCATGGAGAGAGCCCACTTTGAAGCCAGAGGGCAAATGATTTTCATCCACTTCCTGTATCGGTCATATCTCAGAGCTCCTATATTATTTATTCATGTTGAGCAAAAGTATATTTTACAAATGTACTTATGAACCCTCTAAAATATTTTTAAAATATATAAATTGGCTTTATAAAAATCAGCAATTTGAATACCCCTTTATTATATTCACATCGCGGAACAGCTCGAGGGCTCTTCTTTTAAAGGGATTCTATCAGAGGAAGATGGTTTAGAGGCTTTCACGAAAGCTGATTCATAAATCCAGGATAAGTGCGTGCTAGCTTTATACTTTTAGTAAAGTCCATAGGCAGACTTGGCAAGTAGGAATAAGTCAAGTCAGGTGGAGGTGATTAAACTAAATGTTGATTAGATATATCAAATTCCTAAATAGCGTAAAATAAACATTTCTTAATTTCTCTCAACTGAAAACATCATAATTCAAGGAGTTAGAGTCTTGACTATGCTATGACTTTCTGGGCTAAGTTATGTTTCACATGGTTTTTGGAGTAAAGTTTCAAATGTACACCTGACCTTTAAATGTGTCAGGAACAATTTAGCCAATTACTTGGGAACCTCTATAAATCAGGACTAATGGAGGTTTTTCATTCAAGCCACTGAAGGAATGCATCTATATATGTTGGTGTCTCAAACAAACAAAGACCCCAAAACAGAACATTCAACCTGAGGTACATGTAATAAACTTTCAACTTTATTGTCGTTACACTGTCATAAGTCTTGCTCAGGGACCCAGAGTCCAGGCTGTGGGGATCGAACAAGGTTCTCAGTCCACAAGCGCAGTACTCTAACCACTAGGTTATGACCTCCCCAGCATTTTAGCAGAGATTATTCCATTCTTGTTTTTTTTGTTATGGTTTTTCGGAGTGGAGAGATAATTAAATATCTGACATTTGATTAGTATTGTAGAGTCACAAAGTAACACCTAAGATGGCTTCTTGAAAAGCAAAAGTCGTATTTCTTCTAAGCAAAATAAAAAAGGACAAGATAAATATAATTCCCTTGGGGACCCATTTACAGCAATCCAAGCATGCTAAAGACGGCTTTTAGGATTCAGAAGAGGCGGGACAACCCTGATATCAACATGGGGAATATTTGAAGCCCACTGTGGTCACTGACAAAGAACTTCTATTTTTTCTTCTTTTTCACATTAATGCACTATTCATTTCCCATAATAAAAAAAAAAACTAAGGAAAACAGTATAAATAAGGCATTTTTTATATATAAATATATATTATTTATTCCATAGTGCCAGGCACAGTATCTGAACAACAAAAGTCACATTTAGAGGAATGTCTTTTATTATTTGCAGCTTTACCAATAAGCTGCAAAATTACAAAAAGTTCCCAAAATCACACTGTTTAGAAAATACAATATAAACAACTTAAAAAAAGAAAAAAATAAGAACTCTTGGGTGCTTTTTTAATTGACATTTTTATCCTGCTAAACCCACACGTAAGCTTACAAAACATTATTAGTAAAAGAAAAAAAAGAAAAATATTCCAGTACTTGTGAAAACAAGTTGTAATAAAAGAAATCTCTTAAATAAATACTTAATTTACACATACTGGCATCGACCGACAAGCTTTTTTTTTTTTTTTTTTAAACGTCCAAATTCTTCCCTTTTTTCTCAGTTATGATAAAACAAATAAAAAAAAACTTCATTCTCAGTTAGCTGGCACTTTTGGGAAAAATCTGCCTGTCAAGTTCCACCAGCAAGATGGGAAGTATGCTGTCCAGTAGGGCCAGACCTTTCCAGGAACATCGCAAACCCCTGAATAGCAAACAATAATAAAATAAATATGCTTCTTTTTGTTTTCTTATGCAACCAAGTACATCCCAAACAACGTTAAAATGAAATTGTTAGTTAAACTTTAAATAAATTACAGCTGCATGCATGCAAATCAACATGTCAGAAAAAAAAAACAAAGGCCTTAAATTACCTATCATCGAGAATCAGCTGTCCACTCTGCTGAAGCTCTTGGAAATTGAGAGATGCACCAAAGATTTCATGAAGACTTAATTCAGGGCTGAACAGCTCCCAGTTCTGTAAATAGTGAGAAACTTGAGCCAAAACATTTTCAGATTTTGCAAAAACGACTGACTATTCAACCTTCTCCTCATTGACAGACGCATTCACACAGAAAGCAAAACATCTATTGTAAAAGCTTCACCTTGTGATTAATGCCCTTGGTCATTCTCATCCCCATCACCAACACCTCCTCCAATCTGCAAAACAAAATCATTCAGAAGTAACAAGGACACGTCTCAGTATAGCTTTTTTCTCACATGGGCAGAATGTTCCAGAGAACAAGCACATGCCATTCACAGAGAGCTCGAAACACTGCCGCTCACACTCTCTGCAGCCTCATTTCACATGGGAAACTGCAATAATGTGTTGTCTTGTTTGAGGACCAGAATAATCCTGACAAGACAAAACGCTGCTGCCTGTAAGTGGAACAGCTCACAGTTCAAGATGGCCCAGCTGGATCCGCCTCCGTGTCCCATGCCCCCTCTGCTGGACTTCACGGATCCACACGTCAGGCTCCAGGGTCTGAGTCCGGGCTTCACGTGCAACACCTCCCTCCCCCAGGGGGACAAACCGTCCGTGTGCTCCTGTTCCAGACCACAAAACAAATATGATTTCAAAAGTACAGCCAACCGGAAGTGGTTCTGATGTTACTTAAATTACCTGGGCCAACGCCGATGTACTGTTCTCCCTTCCAATAGCTCAGGTTGTGACGACTCTCTGAATTCTGTCGAACACAAAGAAAAGAGTTACGTTTGCTGCTGTGAGCAAGAATAGAATAAATCTAATTAAAAAGAAGTACATAGTTCTAGATCCTTCTAGAACTTCAGCCTGGCTCTTCCCATCTCTGCCATCATTTTATATAAAGAATAAAACATTTTTTAAGGTGGTTTTACACAATCAATCATGGATGTAAGAAGGAAAATGTGAAATATGCATATCCATAAGTTACTAATGAAAGAAATGGGGCATAAAAAGAGAAAAGGGATACTGATATAATAGCAGGCAGAGTGAGAAAAAATTTGGCTGAGTTTCATGTTCCAATCATCTGGTCAAAACTGAATGTGTTTTAATGACCACTTAATGGAAAAGGTTAAAAATACAAAAAACAACAACAAAAACCAATCACATTCACTTCAAATACACTTTGCAGCTTGTGAATTCTTGATTACTCCTACATGCTAACAAATAAGAAATCAACAAGGATTTGCAGACAAAGTAAATCACCCAAACATTTCGTTTATGCATTTTTTTTGTGCAACAAACCACAACACTGTAGTTTTGTTTCAAACAGAAGTGAGTCTGCAATTTTCAAACTCTCTGATTTTAACTTATATTAAAGCTACAGTGTGTAATTTTAAGCAGCCTCTAAACAGAAGCCATCATGGCACAAAATAGCTTCCACTACGCACGCTTTTTAGCTTTCTTGTCAAGTGATGACAGGTTTGTTTACATTAGAGATCCACAGATCGGGATTTTGGGAATCTATTACCAAAAATCAGTATCTGTTGATCAATGATTCAAGCATCAAATCCACACATTTTTCAATACTGTTGTCTCAGGTACCTTAACATTGTACTATTGAGTATAAAAATCAGGAGATGAGAAAGTGTCATAAATTGACCACAACTTTAGTGAAGAAGGCAGTGGAGACGAGCTTTATTCAATTAACATTGAAGATAGAGAAAATAATGTTGACAAAGAACCAAGTGGGTAGGGCTCTAAAGGACTCTACAATACGCCACTACAACGGCAAGAACTTGTGCAAAGTATAATGTGCAATTACTATTTGATACCATGTGTAATAAACCGTTTCTCTATATATAACACCCAGTGCAACAACTATACATATAAATATCCATCTATATAAATATCCATGTAAACACCCTGTATATAAATCCTGCTATAAAAAAAAAAGCTGTCATATGTGGAACGCACAGTATATATCCAATGCACCATTTTCTTCCTTTGGCACATTCCTCTTCTAAACTGACTATTGGAGCTGATGTAACGAGCAAATTTCTCCACCGTGAGATCAATAATTCAATCAATCTTAAGAGGTTTATGGATCGCTTTTAAAAAGGTGTTTTAATTCAGCCCTAGAGGGATTGTTCGTTTTTCTACCTCCAGCGCAGACAACAACCAGCGCTCTGTTACTCTGTCCACCCACAGGCTCCTCTGAGCCTCCACCTCCTACGGCTAGCATCTAAAGGCGACCCTCAGCCTATTCTTGCTCTGTTTCCCTTGCGGGATTCTCTGATGTACCGCGGTCCTCCTCATGGCCAGCTGCAGCCGCTCTTGCCTTCAGCTCTCTGTTTTCTGTCCAGACTTATCTGCTCTACGATCGTCCTGCTTCGATCCTCTGCATTTATCTTCTAAAGTTAGCCTGGGTCAGTCGTAGCCTCTCCACCACCTTCAGTGCTCTGTTTGACTTTGGCAGGGTTCGCCGATCCACAGCTGTGCTTCTCAGCTCTTTTTCTAAGCTATGACTGTGGTTCATCAGCTCCAGAGGGGGACAGGCTGGCAGCTTATTCCCAGCTATGAAGCTCTCTCAGCTGCTGCTGTCTGAGCTCCAGAACCTTGCTCCCCTTCCTTCTTTTTTCTGGGTGATTCATCCTCCTTGTTTTTGGCTTTATTATGTTTTTAGTGACTGCTTGTGTAAAGAAACATTAAAGTAGTGCTATTCTTAGCTGAGTAAGATTTGTGGGTACTCTGTCTACCTCTGCTTAGATGTTTTAAAATGATTGACTTTTGTTGTGTTGCTTCTTTTGATTCTCTGGTCTGATTAATTCAGGGCCTTTATGTGTCAGACTTACATTTCTTGCAAAGTTAGACACCTCATACTGCTGAAAGCCATGCTGCTGAAGAGTCTCTCTAGCTGCCTGGTACATCTCCGCCGTCGTGTCCTCTGTGGGCATGTGTATCTGTCCACCATGCACCTGTTTAAATAGCTGAGTGCCTCTCTCAAGGGTCAGCTGGTACAGAGACACGTGGTCGTCACAGACCCTCAGCATGTCAGACAACTCGCTGCTCCATGATTCAACTGTCTGCTCGGGACGTCCAAACATAATATCCACCGACACCGAACTTGGACACAGCCTCTTTGCCTCTTCCAGAGTCTGTAAAGCCTCCAGGGAGCTGTGATCTCTTCCCAGACTTTTTAAGTCATTGTCCTGCAAAGACTGAAGGAATATGATTAATAAGAATAACTGAATATGAGTTTCTGTCACTTAAAATCCAGTAGTTATATTTACCTGGACTCCAATGGAGAAACGGTTCACCCCAGCATGGTGGAAGTCTTTTAACTTTGCCCTGCCCACGGGGGTAGGGTTGACTTCTAGTGTGACTTCAGCTTCATCTGAGAGAGTCACCTTCTTGGAAACTGTTTCAAGGATCTTAGCGATGGTTGAAGGGTGAGCAAGGCTTGGCGTTCCTCCCCCAAAAAATACAGACGTGATGCTGAAAGTGACAAAGAATAGTTAATGTGCTTACACAGCTTTTCCAAAGCATTTAAATCCCTTAAAACTCTTGTTCACTTGTATTCCACTTATTTTTTTTTTGACAAACCAACATAAAAAAGTGCAGAACTGTGAAGTAGAAGGACAATGACAAATGCCTGATTTGAAGAAGAAAAAACAGCTTCATAAATAGAAAAAAAGTTAATTAAATAGTAGGGGTGAGTGATGGCATGGATGTAGCGATACGATCCGTGTCATGATACTTGGAACACCATAGGATATTATCACGATATTGCAATACCACCATATATTGCAGTATTTTCCCAGCCATCAAAATTAAATATATGGATAAAAAAAAGCAAGTGTGTAAATGTTCATCAGAAGATATTGGCAATTTCTTTATTTTGGTATCCATGTCGTGTGAGGTTTGTCAGTCCATGTCTTCCACTGTGATTGCCTCAACTACAGATATGGCCCTGCGTCGTAGAGCAAAACGCTTCGACAGCGCTATCTGCTAGAGTGGTGGAGCAGAGGTATCCACCGAGTAAAAATTGGTGGGAAAGACGACATGATTTACGTCCAAACAACGTCTATATTTAGTTAAAAAGTGGCAGGTGAAAAGCCGTAATTTTCAGATTGTTGAAAAGACCTTTAAAACTGGGTTTGAAACGTCTTTTATCGGACTAAAGTGAGGCAAAATCCGACCGACCAAACACAGCCCAATTTAAACAACTATTTCTGGACTAAATCAAGACTATGATGGACTGACCAGATTTAGCCTAAAAACCAACGTCTAAATGACGTCTGGTGTTTGGGGAATATTGTTTTAGGTAAAAATGTTTTTGGCTTTAAAAAAAAAACCAAACAATTGGGGATTGAAGAATCTGTATTATATTGGGCTGCCAAAAATATATCATGATATATCGCCAAAACAATTTTTCCCCCACCACCCAATTAAGAAGGATTAGTTTGAGAAAACTTTTGATTTGTGTTAAGCAGAATTATCATCTAACTAAGTAGTTAATGCACTTTCAGTATCCATATATTTACTAGAGTAGTTTTTGTTTTGTTTTTTAGGACTTTTATCTTTATTAACTCCATTTAAACCCAAATATCTTTACCATCTATCATCTTCTCTAAACTAGCTAGTTATTTTTATATGTATTGATAAAAATATGACATAACAGCTGCGACAAAACAGACAGAAAATTATGGAGAGAAGAGAGAAAGACCAACAATCCAGTTTGTTTATAGAAAACCATGGAGGGGTCGAAAAACATTGCAGATGATGGATCACATTCTGAGACGGTGGACATCCCTCATCCAATATCCCCTTTTTAGATTTGAAATGTACATAATGATTATGTTTCAAGTCATGCTTCATATTTAATGCAATTTATAAATTTAATGTTGAGAAAGCCAGAGAGCTAAAAGTATTAGGTAGCTTAACCAGGACTTCTACTTAGTATACTCTACCTAGAAAATTAAATTTTAGCAAAACTAGATCAAGTCAACATTTTTTATATTCTCTCTACCAACAAACTACATTATTTGTTGTCCTATAAGGCAACATCTTCCTTTATGTTTGTACTTAGGTAAACTGCACAACACGTTAAGTTATAAAAAATAAAACAAAATCAGGCTCCAAACAGAGAACACTGTTCAACTGTTAAGTAAAAATGTAGAGTGCGTCATAACTGCAAAGCTACTAACATATGGCTGAACTCCTAAACTGATTGGCTGGATAAGAAGTGTATCAACAAGAGGAGCAGCTGAAAACCTTAACTCTGGAGGAGCTGTAGAGTTCCACAGCTCAGGTGGAGGAACCTGTCAGGAGGACAAGCTTTGCATGCGAACCCAATGAATCTGGCTTTGATAGAAGAGAGCATCCTGCATCCCTCAAATGAAGAAACATACCAGGACACTTGACTGAGCTGCAGCAAAGTCTCCGTTTCCATCTGCAGACACTTTGCCATGATTTCTTCGTTGTTTCCCTTTGGTATGTATTTGTTAAAATTGCAGTAGGTGCATCGTCTGAGACAATAAGGCCACTGGAAGGAGAGGGTGGAAGGCAGGTTTAATACAAGCATTAAGAGAAGAATTAAAAACAGCTGAGTAAAAGGAAAAGCGGGTGGCTTACATGCACATATAGAGACGCCTGTTCACTGAGAGGAGTGGAAGGACTCTCAAGCGATTGTTTGGTTACTCTGAAATCAGAAAAGCGACGCAGACACGGTGAGAAGCCACGGCTGGCCTTACGGAAAATGTCCGCCATCATTCTGACACATTAAACTTCTAATCACAACATCGAACAACATGCCGCTTATAAAACTGGTTGTTATGACAACCCCGCTACAAATAATCCACATAAAAAATGTGTCATTACACGATCCGTCTTGCGCATGCGCGAGCAAATGTACATCCGGGTGTCGATGTACTAAAACTACTTATTTATCTGCTTAACTCTCCAAGGAATGTTAATACATATCTTTAAAAATGTTTTATGACTTTTGTGAAAAATTTGTTATGTTTTTTACATTTTTTCCCTTAAACTGCTTCTCTGACGTCATCATCAGACACGCTCAGAGCAGTCCGGCAAAATATGATTAAACCATGTTTATCTGCATTTTATTTGTTTCTTCCTTTAGCTTACGCACTATATAGCATAAGAATAAAACTACACGAAAACATTAAACTCAAAAAGACTAGATTTAAGGTTTAATCCAAAGCCGAAAAAGTTAGCCACCGGAAGTAGCGTAGGATCCCATTTCCGTTACAGACCGGGCAGAGACGAGAGATAAAACAGAAAGGATTTTAAAACATTTATTTTCTCAGAAAATACATTATTAACATTTAACACATTATATTTTAGTACGTTTAGTATTTTTTTTGTTCAATTTATTTTTATTTGGTAAAGGCATAAACCATTTCTTTACAGAATTTCGTAAATTGTTTACATTTTCCTTTCCCAAAGGTGTTGATTTATAAATACAAACAAAACAAATTACAGAAGCCAAGACAAATACAAATACATAATTAAGGGGAAAAAAAGATGAAAATTATTACAGTTAAAGTTTCTGAGCAATTAAGGTCTTTCTATCTCTATAAGTACATGCACATATAGTATTTTTGAGGAGGAAAAAACGTCATTTAGGTATTTTTAACAAAATAAAAGCGAGACCCGTGCTTCCGGGACGGATCGGGTAGTGATAAAAAACCTCTAGGTGTATTCTATAATGTCACCACACCGGGGCGCTGTTTTATCATAACACTATGGTTTTTAATCTATTCAAATAACCGCCCTGTAATGTGAAAAAAAAAAAAAAAAAAAGATTTATCGAACTATACTCACACGTTTCCCTGCGGTGCTGCATGTTTTAACCCGCCTGTTTGATGATGTAACAACCATAAAAAGCTTTTCTACCGACAGCTTTCTGTCATTTTAGCATTAAAAAATGGTGTGGGCATAACATTAGACATGGAAATAAGTATTTTAAACATTGTCTATGAATGTAATCTAATGACTGAAATGTTATGTTTAAAAGGAATTTAAAAAAAACTGTAACATTTCTGTAACATAATCTATTGCAGTGACATAACCCTTTCTGCACATCAAAAATCTGACCATCTTTGTTATTATTAAACAAAAAACAAATGAGGAAGGAATCTGATTATTTCATATACATATAATTTGACTTAAATGCTACTTCTCCAAATTTCTATTGGTAAATAAGAAAACATATCATATCATAAACTATAGAAATATTCATAAATTGTGATTTCCATCACATAATACAAAGCAGAGAAATGCATTCCATAATTACGCAGAGATTTTTTTATTAGACACATCAATAAATGTGGATGAGCCAGCTGTTGGTTCTGAGCCTGGAGGTATTTTCCAGCCAATATCAAATCTGATACCCAACAGAGGCAGACTAAAGCAGACAAGAGTAAAGGACACAGATTCATTTTCAGTTCGCACAATGAACATGTTGAAAATGTTTCTCTAGACATCTTTTGGGGAATAGATCCAGGTCAAATGGAAAAGAGAAAGAAAGGTAAGAATACACATTCAATTAATGGAACTGGATTATATTTCTAGGTTTAGCATTAAAACATTATTGAACTTATTTCAAGGCTACATATATTTCCTTTCAGTGGCAATACTTAGAACACGTATAATTAAAAGCATCAAATTTAGTTTAATTAAAAGCATTAGCTGAAGGTAAACTAAATCTCAGACTCATTTCTTGACAGGATCTGCAAAAGAACTGAGGCTTATGGTGGTCGGTAGCAGCGGACCTTCTCAGTTCCAGCTAACTAATTCTATTCTCGGGAGGGAGGCCTTTTCAAAGGATGTCACCTGTATTTCTGCAAGCGTGAAGAACAAGGGGGAGCTGTCTGGTCGACCAGTGACAGTAGTCAATGGACCAAACATATATGATAAGGATATAACCCATCCAAAAAGAAAGATGGAGCTTAGGAGGTCTAAGTGCTTATGCATACCTGGTCCTCATGCTTTTCTTGTAGCCTTTGACATTGAAAAAATCTCCCCAAATGACATGAAAACCCCCTGGCTGCTAAAGAAACGCTTTGGATCAAATTGTCTGAAACACTGCATGGTTCTCTTTGCCTATGAAGGTAATCTGGATGGAGCCTCTCTGGAGCACAGGGTGAAAAAGACCGAATGGTACCTGAGAGAACTGATTGAGAAGTATGGTGGCCGTTTCCATGTGTTCAAGAAGAACTGGAGAGATCGAAGCCAGGATAAGGAGCTGCTACGGAAGATTGAGCTGATGGTGGCTTCGTTGGGAGGGGGACACTTCTCCAGCACAACGTTTCAAAGGGCAGAGGAAAGCGTGAGAAGAGAGGAGAAGAGGCTCGGGAAACAGAGGGCAGAAGAGATAGAGCGGACTTGGAATGAGATGGAGCAGCAGTACATGTCTGAGGAGCTCTGCTTTCATAAGGATGCCTACATCACTAATGTTCGTGCAGAGATCCAGGCTAAAGCAGAGCTTGATAACGGTTGGCTCAGGACCTCCCTGGCCAGAGGACTGGGGACTGGCTTAGTTGTGGGGGCGGTGATTGGTGCACTTTTTGGCTCTATTGAGGGAGCTGGAGGAATGGTTCTTTATGGCATTATAGGCGGGGCCGTTGGTGGATCTGCAGGAGGAACTGCTCAGGTGGCAATCAAGCACATGGAGAACAGAGTTGCCCCACCTGCCAGACTTAACTTTAATTCGATCTTCATTAACCGCTTCTTTGCCGTTCCTCGCACATGACGAAATAATTACTCCTTTTCCAATTAGAAAAGAAAAAGTGTTCATCTGTGACCAAATGCAAACAACCTCAGTCCTCTCTCGTTCTTTATATATTTGTCTTTCTTCAGACTTCCTTACAGTGTATGAAAGTAATTTAATGTGTTTTCCCCCCGCTGAATGAACAGCTTTTAAATGTTTGTCTTACAACACTGTGTATGCAGTTGGGATTTTTTCCTAATAGTTGACAGATTAGCATGTTGGACAGGCCTTTAAATTCAGATCATCCCACTACAGAGGTTTTTTTTAAACCCAAGCGATGAACCAGTGTTGTGATCTTCTGACACTAGCAATCATTATGGAAACAAATTTAAGTTAATTAATTAATTAAGTAAATTCTAGTGTATAAGTCTGTCAATTCAGTCTAGCTACTGGAGAATCAATGACATTAGTTTTATTTAACAAACCTTCTAGGTCCCAAGGGGAAAGGCACTTCATGCATACTGTAAAGTACATGGTGGAGGTTCTGTGATGCTGTGGGCCTGTTTCTCTACCAAAGCAACCCGGAAGCACTTTGTGCATAAAATAATCAACTCTTTTGAATACTCTTTATAGAGATTTAGACATTCTAGTGGAAGTGTAAAAATGATACACCTTGATTGTAATAAAAAAAACAAAACATAAATTTCTATTATTTCACATTTCAGTGATAAGAAAAAGAAGTGTTATGTTTTGTATTATTCCTTTTTCTTCAAACTGAGATTATCTGACCACAATAAAAGGTTTGTTGTCAGACTTTTCACATATCAACATGTCTTTTTTATTTCAAGTATCTTAAAGACCAAGTGGTGGTATTTAAATTTAAATATGTCAATTAAAATCAGTCATTTAATTTATTATGGAAAAAGTCTGTTTTTTAGTTGATTTGTTGACACTGTACTTTGCACCACCTTCACTCCCTTGTCGTGCAATGAGTTAAGGAGCAGCTCAGTATCATAAAGGGTGGAGTTAAAGCTTGCTAATGTTTGCCCTCTCTCCTTGGTAGCACCCATAGCTGAGCAAACCTGCTTAGAACAAACAGGTGCAGCCTTTTCTTATCACTACCTGAATAAGTTAAAGCTTTTTTTGGTGGGAAAGTTTTTTTTTGGAAACATTTGAGCTAGAAAGGTAGGAAAACATTCAGTTTGCTATTTTAATAATGACTTTCCTCTTACTAAAAATGTACTTTATGATCCTCTGTGAGTCCTTTGAGCTTTTTATGAACCTCTTACATAACTAGAGATTACTTTGTTTGTTATTACACTGGTGTGAAAAGTGTAATAACAAAAGGACTGAAATAAGAATTAAAGCAGTTTTAACATTTTAGATGTTCAGTTTTGTAGAAAGATGAATATCTCAGTTTGGTAGCTACCTGTTTGACGACATACTTTTCTGCTTCCATTCTCAGTTAACCTATCAGCCCAAGAACACAAAGAACGTAAACACTATTGTCAATGACAATGAGCAACCAGGAAGAGAGGACAGTCAGAGAGGTATGTTTCAATGCAAAATATAAAAGCACAAATTATGCTCTTTGTTATGCCTCCAGGCTTAGAAACGGGACGCCTAGCCGCTATTCTTGAAATGCAGCAAAAATTGTTCCCATTCCTGCATGCATTTTAATCTTTTAAAGCTTTAGAAAAGTCACTTAAAAAAGAGATGATATGGTTTATTAGATGGTTCCTTTCTTAGTAAATATTTTACCATTCTCTGCAGATGATGGGCTCTTCCATTTGCCTCGTACCAGAGAAGCACTTGCTGTGCCTTCTTTGCAGAAACATCTTCACCAACCCAGTTACCATACCCTGTGGACACAGCTTCTGCCTGTCCTGCCTCAGCCAATTCTGGACTCGACGCCAGGCCAAATACTGCCCAGACTGTAGAAGATTGTTTGCCAACAAGCCAGACCTCAGTGTCAACCATATTTTGGCAGATGTTTGTGAAAATTACAGAAGTGCGCACCCTCAGAAACCACCGGACGAAGAGACGGTACTTTTTTGCTTATGTCACACGTTGGTTACTTCTAAAATGTTCAGTATACAGAAACATGAGGAAATGAAAAGATTTTTTCCTTAATTAGTTTCTTATGAATTCACTTTTCTGTCACTCCCACATATCCCACACATTTCATGATGCTTTATTTACTTAGAAAAAAAACTAGATGTTTTTTCTCTTAGATATGTTTAAAGAGGAATTAATTTTTTTATCTTAACATTGGATTCTTCTAGGCTAGCGGCGATAGCTGGGCATTAACTATTTGTTAAGGTGTTAGCGTAGCATTTCAGTTGGATTTAATATAGTACTTTAGAGCCTGAACATATTCAGTTTTTATTTTTTGAGCCATTCAGAGGAAGATTTGCTGGTGTTGTAAGGATCTTGGTGTTCTTAAGCTTAACGTTACAAATTGATGGTTGTATTCTGCTAAGGATTTTATGGTAGAATTTACAGCTCTATCATGTCAGGTCATCCAGGTTCAGAAGCAGTAAAATAAGTCTTGACTATTATACTACAACCACCAGGTGTGGTGGTGTGACTGAGCTTATTTCTCTGAGATACTGTTAGTTTTCTGCCAGGGATAACATGGTTATTACCTAAAACATTTGCTTTTGTCTCCAGAGTCCATAAAATAGTTTCAGTAAGCTTTTTTGGGAATCATCAATATATATTTTTAGGCAATGGAACTTGGTCTTCTCTTTGGTCATCAGTGGTTTTATCTTTGACTTCCTTAAAGGTTGCTATTTTTGGACTCGAGGAGACGAGTGAGGCTTACAGAAGTTTAGTTCTAGAGTGTTTTTGGAGGATTTGTTAATGAACTCTAATTTTGGTTCCCAGCTTTGGGATGGTCTACTACTGTTCCATGTATTTTTTTGTTGTTGTTATTTATGAATGATGGCTCTACCTGTAGTTTGAATCCCAACGGTTTAGAAATTGGTTAAGTACAATACAATGGTTAGTAACTTTATTATTCTTGTTCTGAAATTACTTTAAAGTAGAATTAATTCATTATTTTGGAAAACTTTTAGCCCATTTTATTCCATCAGGTTGATGACATGATCCATTTATTCATTTTACTGCCGTGGTAGTGATCAGGCCTCGGTCTGACTAGTGAAATTCATGATATTTTAAGGTGGGGTATTAATTTTTATATAGGGCCAAATTAGTTTGGATACCTTTTTGATAAAGTAAAACAATAATTAACAGCTGCATTCTGTTTTAACTCAGGTTAAATTTGCCTGATATCAAGATTAATTTTGATGATTGGAAACATTTAAGTGTGACAAAAAAGTAAAAAGAGTTAAAGGAATAATATTAAGGTCTGTGTTATTGTGTATGCAGGTTACAGACGTTCAACAAATGATCCAGGACAGACTACACAAGATAGAGAGGCTAAAATCTTCCCTGGAGGTCCAAAAGGTAAGTCGAAGTGTCTACCTGAAAGAAATTAGTTCAGTGCTTGTATAAATATCCAGGAGTCCTCCATGTTTTGTTTCTTTCAGAGTTCTTACCTGCGTGAGGTGCGAGAGAGTCAAAAAGTCTTCTCAGCCCTTGTATGTGCTATGGAGACAACTCACAAAGCTGTCGTCTCTGCAATTGAGAGCAAGCAAAAGGAAGAAGAGCAAAGAGTGCAGAAGCTGATAAGGGAAATCAAGGAAGAAATCGAGCAGCTGAGGAACCACCTGAATCAAGCTGACCCTCAGGATTTTGATCAAAGTGAGGGCATGAAGCAGGTTGTCTCGGTAAGTACCGCCATGTGAAACAGAAAACATGATGAAAGAGTGGTGTTTTTTTATTTCATTACATGCTGTTTGTTTTCTTGTAGCTCAGTGAGATGAAGGACTGGTCCAGGGTTAGCATTGAAAGTGACCCTTGTGTTGGGGTCACAAGAAGAGCGATGTCAGACCTCTTAGAAAAGATCAAACTGGAAGTCAACAGGCTCTCCAAAGCTGGTGAGGGATTTGAACTTTGGATTTATTCAACTGCTTTGCAGCAAATTCAGCGGCAATAATATTTATTTTTCTCTGTCTTTAGAACAAAGGAGACTAGAGAGGTATACAGGTAAGATATGGACGGTGTAAATGTTTTTATAATTCTCAGCATATGAGATGAGTTGACCATAATGTGTCAACCATTGTCTCCCTCCTCTCAGTTGAGCTGAACCTCAGTGGAAAGACAGCCCACCCGTTTCTTTCCGTCTCAGACGACCGGAAACAGGTGAGGCATACCAACAAGCTTCAGGAGGTTCCAGATCATCCAACGCGCTTTGACCGTGTGGCCAACGTGCTGGCTAAGGAAGGCTTCAGCAGTGGGAGGGTCTACTGGGAGGTGGAGGTCGGCGACAAGATCGAGTGGAACCTGGGTGTCGCCAGGCAGTCCATAAACAGAAAAGGAAAGTTTACTGTCTGCCCGGCCAATGGTTTCTGGACTTTGAGCCTGAAGGCTGGAGGCCAGTATATTGCCAACACCTCTCCTGTCACCTTTGTGGCTCTGGAGCAGCGTCCTAAGACTGTGGCGGTGTTTTTGGATTACGCCCAAGGCTTCGTTTCCTTCTTCTGTGCTGAATCAGGAGCGCACATTTACACCTTCACAGACAGGTTCACAGACAGACTTTATCCAATCTTCAGTCCCGGACGCCTGCATGGTGGCAAAAATGCAGCCCCGTTGATCATAACTTCAAGTTTCTGCAGCATTTGAGCTTCAGTCATTGGTTTTATCTTCTGTATTTTCCTGATTTTGACAAATTATTTATTAAATGAAATGTATATCAGACATCTTCAATAAACCACATATTATTCTGTGCAATTACTAACTGATTCTTTACACTATAGCGTGAAAGGGATAATGAAACAGGTAAAATGTAAACATAAAGAGGAGGGCATCGACTGAGAGGAGATAAGGGGATGGATGTGTAGGGCTGCAGAGTTGGGACAGAGGGGGCACAGCCAAACAGCGGAGCATTGTGCTCATACACCAGGCACTGGGAGACACACAATGACACATTCGTACGCACACACACACACACACACACATGCTCGTGCTGCTGCCCACTGCCACAAAGACACACGCTGGCATCTCTAGAGGGCAGCCCCGTCTCCAGCCCAGTCCGGTCCTGTCCAGGGTGTTGGGAGCTGGTTCCGTCTCTGTGCTGCAGTTCAACCCATCCTCTGAGAGAGAGCCTCACAGCTCTGCTGCCTTCTTTCTGCCTGCGCTTTGCTCTCAGGGCAACTCCAGGGATTTTCTGCCGGGGGGAGCAGCAAAAAAACTTCCTGTGGATCATCTTAAGTGGGAAAAGTTATAAAACCACTAGAGGTAAATATCCATTCTCATGTCCAAGAAAATAACTGCCTATTTTAAAGCACAACAGAGCTTTTAGTTAAAAAGTTGATAATAGACTAAACAGACATAACTGCAGTTAAAATCTTTTCTCAGTATAAGGGACTTTTTTAACTGATTAACTGATCAGAATTTGAATATTTTGTGAAAGATACAGCTAAGGGAAAAAAAGCAAAGAGAAATCAGGCCTTCCTGCATATAAATGGATTTCTATGGTTACTGTCACAATTTATTGTAATTAAAAGTAATTGTCAAGATTCTATAAATGTCCTTTTGATTTATTATCCCTTTGAAATTAAATTTCTTAGCAGGAAATCTACTAAAATATCAAAAAGTTGTTGGATGCTCCATTCAAATTCTATATTTTGCGGAGAACTATTACTGTTCTGAGCTTAATTAATCAGTTCTGGTTAACCTCATTTACTTTTTAAAAAGAGCCATAGAATCGGTTTTGTTGCATAAAGAACCAAGCTGTAAGCCTATCTGATGATTGATTATTTCACTTGATTCAAATGTGAGAGTAGACATATGAAACTGATTGTTGTTGGCCCACTCTACGAGCGTCCCATAAAAGCTGCTTGTGTTCTGTTGAGTCCCTTCATGTTTTTCTGAGATGATCCACTTACCCAGCCAGGCGTAGCTTCACACCCACATCTGTGTGTCAAAGAGGGCTATTCTCTGAGCAAACCGTGGAATCCACTCAACTAGGGGCTCTCTGTGTCTAAATATTTACGATAAACATACGTTTCAATGAGCTTTTCTTTAAAAATATGGTTGTAAATATATGGTATTTGATTTGTAATAATATCGATGATTTTTAAAGCATTCACTGGTTTAACTTTTTTCTCTGGATTTTAGGATACCTGCTCTCTTTTTTTAAATCCAAGCGGACTTCATCAACGTCACGAAAACACAAACTGCTCTCTTTCTTTGTGGGGCTGGTTTGACCATCTGGATCATCAACTGATTTAAAATTTGGACAAATCTTTGATTCAAACGACAGCTTTCATCATGGCGACCACAGGCATGCAGCTGATGGGTCTGATCCTGTCCATTGTTGGCTGGGTTGCTGGTGCAGTAGTCTGCGCCATCCCGCTGTGGAGGGTCACTGCTTTTATCGGCAACAACATAGTGACAGCTCAAATCATCTGGGAAGGCTTGTGGATGAACTGCATAGTGCAGAGCACAGGTCAGATCCAGTGTAAGGTGTATGATAGCTTGCTGGCTCTGCCCAGTGACATGCAGGCTGCCCGTGGCCTCACTGTGTTCTCCATCCTGCTCTGTGGGGTAGCCTTGGCTCTGGGGGTCCTTGGAGTCAAGTGCACCAAATGCATAGGTATCAATAGTCTCAAAGCCCGCGTCGCTCGTATTTCTGGTGCCTTGTTTGCCATCGCAGGATTCCTTTACCTTGTTCCTGTCTCCTGGACTGCCCATTCCATCATCAGGGATTTCTACGACCCACACGTGGCAGCTCCACACAAGCGGGAGCTCGGCCCTGCCCTCTACATCGGCTGGGTGGCGTCTGCTTTGCTCCTTATTGGTGGTTCTCTGCTCTATGCTGGGTCCAGTCCCCCTGGCATCCCGGGCTCTCCCACCTTCAGCAGCGGGGAAAGCAGTCCTCGTAGAGCCCCCGCAACACAGGTTAAAGGTTATGTCTAAAAGCCCTAAACTCCTGAAATCCAGTTATGACACTATGACTCATTTTTGCTCCTTTTGAATTTGTTTCTTTTCTTAATTATGCATAAAATGTTTCTCAGTTTACTTTTTCTTTAAAAAACAAAAACAACCTACATTCAGCTCGATAGAGAAAATGTACATTTTTTCCCCCCGATGATTTCATTTTTTTTTTTTTAAATAACTTTTTTCTGTCTGTCATCCAAATGCAATAAAAGTTGTATCCTCTAATGAGGAAACTTGTGTGTGTACATTTTTACAAATATAAAATCTTTCAAAAATCCTTTGCGGTGTATGTTTTTCATAAGCATGATTTACAATAGAACTGTTTCAACTGCAATATTCCTTCAAGAAAATACGTTTTCGGTGTTGCTCCATAAACATCAGTTTTGGAGAAGAAACAATAGAACAATAAGGGTGTTTGTACATTTGCTTGAGGGTCCTTAATGTTGAGAATAGCGTCTGTGTGTTGTCCTATCTTCCTTCTCCCCTTTACTGTCTTAACCACATGGTGGCACGGACAAAATACATTATTTGCAGTGCAAGAAAAAAAAGATTAAAGTTAGTACTATCAGTTATTATACTAACATTTTATCTTTTAATTATAAAAGTTGAAATAATCATGTTCTAAACTTATATTTCCACTGATTAAAAAAATCAAGAACAAAGATCATTGATCCACAAAGAGCTTTATTTTGTATTGTGTCCTTATTTTTCGATAATATGTGAATCTCAGTGTAAATCCCTTTATTGATGAGATGTAACAGTTAAAATAAACGCTTCTCCTGAGTCACCATGAGGTAGTGCCTGCAAAGCAAATTACAACCTTTTTATTTGTTTTATTTCTGGACATTTTATCTTTATAAACTGCTGTGATGTCATCACGCCATCAGATAATCTCCTTTCTCTTCGTAACAGCAGAGGACCAAGCAACACAATGCCACATTATAGAAGCATTATTCTGTCACTGTAACAAGGGGGGACAGTGTTCTGAGTGCCAGGTGGTGACTCATACATGACCTAAGTACGCCTGCACCACAGAAGGTGGAGCTATACTGTGAATACTGTAAGTCAGCACTAGCTCAAAGTCTAACTGTAAAGCGGCGGGGTAGAAAAAGCGCACTATGTATACATTAACCAGTTTGGCCAGGGTTACTACGGTAACCCTGGCCAATTAATTAATTACTACGGTATAAGGTTTGATAAAAGTCCAATTCTTCACACTGAGAAGATACCAGCTACCTTCAGAAAAAAATACCTCACTGACAAGGATTAAACCTTTATTAAACCTCCAGTTTTATAGCAGAACATCTGTGTCATATTTTTAACAATTTCTCAAAAGAAACTCTGAGAATATGGAAGCCAGCATATGTTCTTTACTTGCTTAAAGACAGTTATTAATAACTATAGACCAATGTTTAAGTTGTGTGTTCTCTCTAGTTTTAGAAAAGTTAAAGAATAATTTTATTTGATTTTTAGATGCTCATGATGTTCTTCCCCAAAATCAGTCCAGTTTTCATAAAATATAGTACAATAACTGCTGCTCTTGAAGAGGTTAATGATTTCATAGAGGCTCTAGATTGTTGTGAATGCTGTGCAGTGCTTTTTAAAGACTTTCACACAAGCAATCATGAAATTCTGCTAGATAAACTCCACAAATTAGTCTCTATGAACAAGCAGTTAACTGGTTTTCTAATAACCTGTCGGGTAGAACTCAATATGTCCAGCCTTAGGGATCCATACTAGGGCCATTGTCGTTTACAATTTATGTGAATGATCTCTGTGACAATTTATCTTATGCTATGTTTCACTCCTGTGCCAATGGTACAGTTCTATATGGTTCCTGTTTCTCAGCTTCAAAATAACTGAAGCTGTTCCAGTCAGCTTTTGACTGTTTAGTCACATTTAATCCAGCTTAAGTTAGAATAGAATTCAACTCTATTACACTGTCACAAGTACAAAGCAATGAAATTAGCTCTCTGCATTTAACCCATCCCCTTGTTGAGCAGTGGGCTACCATTGAGCAGCGCCTGTGGAGCAGTGTGGGGGGTCTTGCTCGGGGACCCAGGATGGCAGTCCGTAGGAGTGGGGCTTGAACTCAGAACCTCTGGGATCCAAAAAAATGCCCTAACCACTATAGCAGCCAATCCCCAAGTTAGTGCTAAATGCAGATTAATCAAAGTCCATGTTTTCTTCTAACGGTAAACAGCTTTCTACTAACCCTCCCAGGTTGTCAACAGTGCATGGGGTTGAAATTAATTTCTTATAAATATCTAGGCATCTTAATTGATGAGAAATAAATAATGTTTTCTTTGCAAGTTAACAAACATGTGATCACCTCTAATTGACTTGCCTTTTCATGCATGCTTCAAGTCAGTTTTTAAAGAAGCTGGATACTGTTAATTACTGTTAATTTCTTTTTGTCCCTGGTTGCATCTACAGTGTACATCATTGCTTCTTACTGCATATGAAAGTGCAGATTCTCAATCCCTGTATGCTCATAGGCCCTCCCACTGGCTGACTTTTATCTATAGATCTATTCTTGGACTTGTACTTACATATCTCTGTGAACATATATGTAGAAACATTAATCGATATGGACTTTGCTCATAGTCAGGACTGAACTTGGAAAAAAGGCTTTTAGATTCTGTGCCCCAGCTACCTGCAATGATTTATGGAAGGACTTGAAATTGAGAACAGATTTATGATTGAGGGAATTCCAATATTTTATAGATGACAGAGTAAACACCAAGTTTGAATGTTATGACTGCAGTTTATAAACTGATAGGTTTGCTGTTTGTGATAGCAAACCACATAACCATAAAGTTGCCGCCTTGACTAGGTCACTCTTGGAAAAGAGGTTTTTAATCTCAATGAGTTCCATTTACCGGGTTAATTAAAGGAATCTAATCTTATCTAAGGTCTTCAGGATGACACAATTCTTTACTATGGCCACCCATAATCTCATAGCTTATGTTATTATGTTGTAAACCTGTTATATCACAGAACTTTGAAATGGTGTTCATACCTCAGGAACTCTTTCCTTTAACATCAAATCCATAAAATTATATAAATCTTTTTTTCAGGTTTAGGTGATACATCAACACAAACTACATTCCACTAAAGCCAAATTAGGGTTAAGGTAGAGTTACCTAAAAACCTTCATTTCCTAACTGTGCTCTATATAATGTTGGTCATTTATGTAAAATCTAAATAAATATGTTGTACTATTTATTTGCAACACAAGGAAAAGAAAACTGTTCAAAGGGAAATAAATACTTTAAGAAATTACTACAATAACATGTGTAGTACAAGAGTATTTGGTTTGCTTAAGTAAGTTTCAGGGGGGAAAGCTGTGTAAAAACAGGAATTACTTAAACAAGTTACAGCTTTAACATTAAAAACACTTTTTTCTGAATTAATTGCATTTCTTAGGTCTGAAATGTTTTGATTTCTATATAGAATTCATGCAGTTTTCAACTTTGATCATAAGAAAACATTTGCCTTTAAGATAATATTAAATAAGAATGTCCTAAATCTCTTTTTTCTGCTAAACTGAAGCTGTTGAATTATAGTTTCTAATTGAAAAAAGGAACTTGGTTAACTTTGGTGTCTCTGCCTAAACACATAAATGAACAGTTCTTTTGTTGTTGTTATACCTGTAACCACACCCAGCAATGGTGTTTCAGGTTCCCACTGCTCCCTTATTATACAGAGACATGTTATCCTACAGGAGGTCTGGAGAAATTACACTTACTTAGGGTTTTAAATTACTCATAAAGAAAAAAATGTTGACAACTTAAACCAGTTAGTGTTTCTTGTTCTCTCCTTTAGTTAATGTAGTTTAAAACTCAGACAGGCTTTTAGTTTAAAAGGTAAGAGCAAACATTATTGTAATTGCAGTTATCAACAATATGGTAAAATCTTAACAGGTATATATTTTTTATTCTAACAAATATGTGTTAAGCCTAATGTGTTAAATGTGCAAAGATGAACAATCAAAAGCTGTGGTAACTTAAAAGGATGGTTACATGGTAGAATAACAATAGCTCTGTGGTTGTTTAAGCATTTTTTGTATGGCGATAAGTTTCCTTTTTCACTGACTTTAAAAAAAACAAGAAATTTTAAAGTTTATATTGAGGTAAAACCATTCTCTGAGCAGTTTGGAGCCTTTGTTCAATAATCTCATTAATGCAGGACCCAGAAGCTTTGAAAATAGAAGAGAGGAAGGAAGAACAAGGGCCAGGGCAGTGAGGTTTGATCAGGTTTTTTTTAGAATGGGATCCTTTAAAGACTCATGACGCTTCCTTACCTTTGTTCTCTAACATAAGAAACAGGGCTTTTGACCAATGTTTGGATTAAGCAGCCGAGATTCAGTGTGCCTGAATTTTGTCATTGGAAAAAAAATACAAATAAATAATATTGATAGATAAAAGTCAAATTAATACATTGATTAAAATGAAAAAGCATTAGACATTGTAGCAGCTCCCCAGCACTTGAATTACTCAGCCAGTCTAAAGGGGTGAATTTAGTGTTTGATTTTATGAAGATCCTAATCACAGCTTTCACTGGGGAACAATAAGTATTGATTTTTTGGTGACAAACATCGTAAAAGTTCAAGTTATTCATTGGTTCAATGATTCTATCAACTTTCATAGGGTCTAACCTCATTAGCTACGGCAGCCTGTAAGATACAAAAAACTCCTTAAACATCACAAAGTGCAAATACAATCAAACAAAACAAAATATAAATCCACAAACAATGCTAATAAAAATAGACAAATATCCATAAACAATCTGCAACATTCTTAATTCAGAAAATTAACTTTCAATAACTTACTTTAAATAGTTTAGAAAAATAAATTATTTAGGCAATTGATTTTAAATAGCTCACTATCCATTACAGACATAAACAAACAAAAAAAACGGTTAAGTTTGTACATAGTTGTTAATTGATTAGATTATACTATTTATAATTTATCAACAATCAATAAGATACACCTAAGTTCTTCTCTTGTAATTCAATTTTTCATCGCTAGGGGGAGACGCACTACTTTTCTGTCGGCGTGCGAAGCAGGAAGTGTTATTACTAAAACACAGCTGTACTCCTCGGCTAAGCTAACAGGCTCACGTCAGCGGTGAAAATATCAGGATCCGCTGACCAGCAGAAGCACCTCGTAGGACATTCCTTGAATCGGAATTCAACATGGGTAAAGGTGGAGGCACTTTCGAGAGGCTTCTTGGTAAGCTAATGATGTATTCTGTTAATAGTTATCAGCTTTTATCCAACCCTGAGTGTAAAAGTGCGATGTTTTGCGAGCATATTGTTTTGACAGGGCTGTGGCTCTTAGGCCAGCTAGCTTATTTAGCTTGCTATTGTTCGGAGGCCCTGACAGACTGGTTTATTTTTTCAAAACGACTAGAAAATTTTACAGATACTCTTTATTTCATATATTATAAAACGGCCTGTCCAAATTGCGAAAACTATAGTCTAAGTAAATGCGACTATGTGTTCGTGTCTGCTTTAACGTACACATATTCTCATTAATTGTCAGTTACATCATTAGTGACACTTGCGGCATAGATGCTGACATGTCCAAAATGTGGAAAAAATCCGAGGAGCAACCTGTAGCGATGTCATTAGTGCGGATATAATAAAGGTGCAGTCTTTGGTTTAGAGATTAGCACAGGTTGATGAGGTAGGTGCCAAGGTGTAAACAGTATTTATGGTCTCCCCTTTAACTTCAGTAGACTGCTGTAGGTAACATCACAGAGTAGGAATATTTATTAAAACGTATAAGAAAAAAAACAATGTTTATTTTAAATGACCATTTTTATATTAGTCCCACGAGCTCCACATTAAACACAACAAATTAGAAGTTGACAACAGAGGCGTAGCCATAACATTTTTATAAGGGTGGCCAGGCAATAACTAATGTACACTGAGGGGTGACTGATAGTGGATAGATGCTAGAACCTCAGGGTCAATCTACACTGTTCTACCAGGAAAATTAACAAGAAAACAAAACATCCACATTTTCTAAATAAAGACAAACTTTACATTCCTACAGCCTTCGCTAACAAATAAACTCTTATATTTAAACTTCCGTGCTTTCTAGATAAAAGATATAGTGGATTAGTATACTGATGTGCATAATTAACCACAAAAAATGTAAATGTTTTGAATATTTCACTTGTGAGTATTACTGCTGCCACCATCTGTAGGTGAGGAAAAAATGGTAGGGGTGGCCAATGATTGGCTAAGGTTGGCTATGGCAACCCCTGGCCCCCCATCTAGGTCCGCCCCTGGTTGACAACCCTTAAGGTTGTTGGCTCCATGATCACAATGGATGGGTCCAAGTGAAAATTTGAAGAATGTTTAACCATATCTTAATAATTAAAATAAATTCTCAGAGTTTTCAGACTCGGAATCAGACATACTTTAATAATCCCAGAGGGAAATTACAGTTTTGTTTTCTTTCCCCCATTATGTTTGGGAAAAATACCAAATGTAACCCTAATAATAATTGAACTTTACTGATCTCACATTGGAGAAATTTACCTCTGCATTTAACCAATCCCCTTGGGGAGGAGTGGACTGCCATCGTGGGGCACCCAGAGAGCAATCAGGGGTTAAGGATCTTTCTCAGAGTGGCAGTGGGTTTCGAACTCAAAACCTCAGGATTCCAAGCTCTATGTCCTAACCACTAGGTCACCACTCCCCAACTACCTAAGAAATAAATCTGTAATGATGAGCGAGAGCATAAAGAAACCAAGACTAACTACTAGTGTGAGATGCGGGCCTCTCTCATACATCAGTATGAGAAACAAGTCCTCGATTAGGAAGAAATAAAATACTGGATGTGTCATAAGACTACAGGTAGAAAGCGAATGTTTTCTAAAAATGTTGCTGCTGGAACTTTTTCAAAGACACCAAACGTCCGCTGGGGGAATATGATGTAAGGAACTTTATGAGATCGAGAAGTTTGATTCTAATAAAAAGTTAAAAACAGCTGTCCCATCAATAGATCCATTTGACGTATGTTGGTCATCAGCCAAAAAAAGCACTAATGCAAAACATGATTGCTTTTATAGAGGAAGCTGGCCTGAAACCTATCTTGTGTGATGCACTGAAAAAGAAGAAAGTGATCAATCCATTGGAGGAAGGATCCAATAATGTAGATTTGATGGTGTTTGGCACAGAGCAAGCTAAAATCTTCTCTAACCTAATCTGACCACCGGTTATATTTTTTGTGTCACCAACTGAAGCCAAACAAGTTGTTATAAAGTCATGTTTATTAGAGATCGATTGTTAAATTTAGGTTTGCCCACCTCTTTAAAATGATCCTGTTTTTATAGATTTGACGATTAATGATTGCTTTGACGACATTGTGTGCATTTAATAATGGTGTTTTCTGCCTGCAGATAAAGCAACCAGTCAGCTGCTCCTGGAGACTGACTGGGAATCCATTCTTCAAATCTGTGACCTCATTCGGCAAGGAGACACACAGTAAGTCATTCAGTCTCTTCTACTTTGACATTTTCAGTTGATTTGAATTTATTTAGAAGTCATTTTAAATCTACAGCATTTAATATCTTTATTCTTCACTAAACCATAAACTTTGTTTTTTTTTCCCCTTAAGAGCTAAATATGCTATTGCAGCCATTAAGAAGAAACTGAATGACAAAAATCCCCACGTGGCTCTTTATGCGCTTGAGGTAAGATGTTTTAGGGGAACATTTTGAAAATTGAAATCGAACTAGAAATGAAAACGTTTAGAAACTTTTATTGATTTTGATATGGAAAGGGCTTAGTTCATGTTTTGAATTTCCTTTGTTGGTGTTAGCTTTTTTTTTTTTTTCCTTTGTTGGTGTTAGCTTTTTTTTTTTTTCAGAGGTTTTCAAATGAATTTAATTCTACTACAATTATGTTTTTTTTTTTTTTCAGAGGTTTTCAAATGAATTTAATTCTACTACAATTATGTACCATTTAGCAACTGTAACATTTAGCTGCCATTCTTAACCTATTTTAAATCATAGAAGATTGGGGAGTAAAAGGCAGCCCAACGAGATGTTAATTAATAAATATGCCAGTAGATACAGTTTTCATTTCTAGATGTCATTATACTAAATTGTTACAATTGGGGCTCTGTTCAGGTTCTAGAGTCGGTGGTGAAGAACTGCGGGCAGACGGTGCACGATGAGGTTGCGAGTAAACAAACTATGGAAGAACTCAAGGATCTGTTCAAGGTGGTCTTGTTTTGTATTTTAAAACCTTTAAAATCTCTTCTGTCCAGTTTCACTTAATATTTCGTCCTTTTTTACTCTGCTGTATCGCTTTATTTGAAGTCAAGACTTCTGTGGCATATCCAGCCTGACTTTTAGAGAAAAGCTGGATATCACAGAGATAACCAACAAATCGGCCGACTGATATTAGCCTATTTTTCTTGTAACAGTATCGGATGATATGTGCATGTATTTGCCAGCTGATGAAGGCATTCAGCAGCCATAGTGATCAATACCATTCCCCTCTATTGGCTATAATTTTTTTTTGTTTTTCTTCGTAGATGTTTGTTTTGTTTAAATTAAGGTTTGTGTAACATTTTTTAATGTTACATTTTCATCATGAAAACGAAGGAAAAAATCAATATCAGCTGGAAAGAATTTACACAAAAAGATCATCAGAATATATCAGGGATTGGTTAGCCTGATGTCAAAATAATTGGCATTGGCCTTATGAAAACCTGTATGGTTGATTTCTAATCCCCATATCACCCTCATATCGAAGTAATTTGACATTTTCAATTAGAAAATATTTCAGACCTCTAAGCTCCACCTGTTCTCCAATCTGACTCAATCAGTGCTCACTGCTTCCCAGTTGTTACAGTTTGAGCCAGCAACATCTGATTGGTTCTCACTGCATCATGTGACTCTAGATATTCAGTGTGTTTTTGTTAAGACTTCCTGCTGAGGTAATTGTCTTGTGACACGAGTGTTTCCACATCACAAAACCAGCAGGAGAATTTCTGTTTCACTTCTTATGATCTTACTGAATTCTTTTGAATTCATTTTGTCTCTAACATGACAACAACAAAAAAATATTATTTTTTTTTTAATAGTAAAAATTTTTTATTTTTAAATGTGTGAAATATCTTTGTTGACTAAGTTTTATTCCATTACAACCAGAAACAGACAGAACCAAATGTCAGGAACAAGATTCTTTACCTGATCCAAGCCTGGGCTCATGCCTTCCGCAACGAACCCAAATACAAGGTGGTTCAGGACACCTATCAGATCCTTAAAGTGGAAGGTAAGTGTTCTGGATGTTTCTGTAAAGCTATGGGCACTTCCAACCTGAGGTGGAACTGAAAAATATTGTATTGTTGAATTAACATTTTGTTCTGTACAGGTCATGCGTTTCCTGAGTTCAAGGAGAGTGATGCCATGTTTGCAGCAGAGAGAGTGAGACTTTTATCTTGACTTCCAGTTAATTTAATGTTATCTTATTAATATCTTTAAAATAAAAATTCGTATTATTATACTGATCCACACAAAAAAGGAAATAAAAAAATTGGATAGTCGCCTTTTTAAAGTCCATCTGTTTTTTGTTTCACCTTATCTAATACATGGCATTTGCCTTCTGCAGGCCCCTGATTGGGTTGACGCTGAGGAGTGCCACAGGTGCAGAGTTCAATTCGGAGTTATGACCAGAAAGGTAGGCTGGCTTTCCTCCTAACTGGGACACTTAAAGGTTATACTGCTTTTCTTCCTTTCATTGAAGTGGTTTGAATGTTTGAAGCTGAGAACTGACCTGGTTTTGTGCGCCTTGGTTTTTCCAGCACCATTGTCGAGCCTGTGGGCAGATTTTCTGTGGGAAGTGTTCGTCTAAGTACTCCACCATTCCAAAGTTTGGCATCGAGAAGGAAGTGCGTGTGTGTGAGCCTTGCTTTGAGCTGTTAAACAAGTAAGTTCCTCTGGGGGAAAAAAAAAGTGCAAGCTTTGCTTTAAAAATAATCTGAAGTTTGAGTGTGCAGCGTCTGGTAGAGAAGTTGCAAACGTGGAAAGATCCACGTGGGCCTCGGACTGACTAGACTCATTTATCAACACTATTTCTTTCTTTTTTTTTCTTTTAGCAACAAACAGCCCATTTATTTCTATAATAAGATATGAAAACGTAGGCAAATTTTCTTTTCAGCCTCAGGGTATGATTATATCAGTGTTTCCATATGAGCAGTAAACAACTAGCTAAGTATGTAAGCGGCTGTATATTTTGTCATATTATAATGCCTCTGACCTTTTGCTTTAGAAGTCTGTTTTGGTTAAAACAAAAAGATGTAGGATTTTATTTTGATAAAGCAAAACATTTTTTTTTTTATAATTTAGTACCTTGTCTGTCAGCGGCTCCAACCTCACTATGACTGTTGAAGATGTAGTGGTTTCAAGAGCAGCACAGATGCCTCAGCATTGCCAGAATTGAACTGAAATACTATATATGATTTTTTTTGTGCTACTTATTAAATGAAATGTCAATAACTTTTTACTTGTCTGGAGAGTTCCTGGTGTTTTCACCAGCATGCTCTTCTCCAATTTACAAAGTTGTTTGTCCTCCCAAATCCCCTTTCCTTACCAGCCACCCCTCCCTCTCTCCTCCACTTAGGAAAGCTGAAGGTAAAGCCCCCGCTTCAACTGCAACCGAGCTTCCTCCTGAGTACCTGACCAGCCCACTGTCCCAACAGTCTCAGGTACTTTATTACTTTTAGCATGTGTACAGTGGTGTCATCTGGGGACTTCAGCAGTTTTACAGGCCGATACGCTGAGGTGCTGGAGTGGGGATCGAACACACCTGTGTTTTTTTGTTGTTGTTGTTGTGTGTATTCACATTTTGTTGTATGAAAGGGCTTTAAAAGCAAGTTTTTTTAATTTTATGATTTATGAAAGAATATATGAATGTAAGTTAATTAGTATATGTTAGTTTAATAATAACCAAGGACTGTTTATTTCCTTGGTAAAATGAGAATGCAAATTCATGTTTCCATTATGCAGAGCGAAGAAGATGGGGATCTGTTTCCTTGGTGCTTTAAATATCTAAGGACCCCTGTGTCTATTTAAAAGTTAATTGACCCTGCAGACATGTCACTGAGATTAGGGAATGTATTCTGGTTGTTTGGGGGTTTCATGCATGATATAGCAGATAAGAATACGCTTTTGCTGGGTTACCATTACAAATGTGAGGTTCTGATTTGCTTGGAGAGGTTTTATTAACTTAGCAATGTATATTTTACTATTAAAGGCTTCTGTTCTTGACCAGATGCCCCCTAAGAGAGATGAGGCTGCCCTGCAGGAGGAGGAAGAGTTGCAGCTGGCTATTGCTCTTTCCCAAAGTGAAGCAGAAGAGAAAGAGCGCATGGTGGGTTATTTATTTAGCTTAATGTCTGGCTGCTTGTTTATCAGTTGAAGAAACTGACTCGAAGCTAATCGGTCACTTGCAGAGACAGAAAAACTCATACTCCATGTATCCCAAGGCTGATCCTACTCCAGTGACTTCCTCTGCACCTCCAGTCAGCACCCTTTACACTTCACCAGTGGTAAGACAAAACTAATCTTTGATAAATAAAATATTTGTTCATGGAAAATTTTAATTGATCTCCTCCTGCATTTTCAGGAGATGAAATGAATATCCAATTTTAGTATTCCCACTATAGCATATGAGTGATATTTATTGATATCATATATTTTCCATCCTTTGCATACCATGAAAACTGTAAATAAATGCTGCGTCCCAATCCCCGTCACATGAACAAGCCCCTCCCCCTCATGATAAAATTAGTCACTGCATGGAAATTATTATTGGCCTAGTTTTACTTATCTAACAAATATACAAATATGCTAAAAAAATGAGCAGTATAAATGTCGATTGTTTCGTTCATTCCTAGTATTTCTGGCTCACCCTTAAGTTAGACATGAAACGATGAACCAAACTAACTTAATTTATGAGATTGTGTGTTAAATATTATCAATAATTATATTACAAAGAGGAAAAATTTACAGGTAAGAAAAAAACATAGACTTGTTTTATAATTTTTCTGCAAGGGTCTTATCTCTCCTTACTACAGCTGGAGTCACAAGCCCAATGGCCTCAAAAGCATTAGCAATGGGACTTAGATGCTCCAGTGTCCTTTCAGCTTCATCTTCCATCAAACCACATTTTTTAAGTGTGTTATGCTTGTGAGGTATCACTGGTATTACCAAAGTATTCAACGGGAAGCTACAAATCGAACCAACCCCTTGACCTCGCCGCTTAAAGTACTGCAGCATGGTGGCGCCCTTGCCAAAAATTCTGAAACAATGCTACATTTTTTGCTTTCATTTATATTTTTTACTTTTGTGAAATAATTATTGATAATAGTAAGACACGATCTAGTTATTTTGGTAAATTTTTTCATTTGCATCTTTACCCTCTAGAACTCCTCTGCCCCGTCTGCTGAAGAGGTGGACCCTGAGGTACGTTCTTCCCTTTGTGTGTACTAGAATTTTATTCTTTAAATGTTAAGGAAATGGATTTAAGTTTTACATGCTGACGTCTCATAATTCCAGTTGGCCCGCTACCTGAATAGAACCTACTGGGAAAAGAAGCAGGAAGATGCTCGGAAGAGCCCCACCCCCTCGGCCCCTGCCCCCGTGTCTCTGGCAGAGACCCTTCCACCAGTCAGCCAGCCTGTTGAAAGTCACCTTCCTGTTCAGCCTGTCAGCATAGTGGAGGTAGGTAAAAACTCCAAACTCAGCTGACCTCGATCTGTTTAGACATCAACTCTTGGTTCATGTCTCTACTTTGGCCCCCTCTTCAGCAGCCGTACCAGAACGGTGAATCTGAGGAGAACCACGAGCAGTTTCTCAAGGCTCTGCAGAACGCTGTTACTACTTTCCTGAACCGCATGAAGAGCAACCACATGCGTGGCCGCAGCATTACCAACGATAGCGCTGTGCTATCGCTCTTCCAGTCCATCAACAACATGCATCCTCAGCTGCTGGACATCCTAAACCAGCTGGACGAAAAGAGATGTGAGTTTGTGCTCCATGAATGAATTCCTGTCTTGTCATGTCCAGTCCTTCAGCTATGATGTCCTGGATGTTAACAGTGTACTACGAGGGGCTGCAGGATAAGTTGGCACAGGTGCGCGACGCTCGGGCTGCCCTCAACGCGCTTCGTGACGAACACAGAGAGAAGCTGCGCAGAGCTGCAGAGGAGGCCGAGAGACAAAGACAGATCCAACTTGCACAGAAGTTGGAGATCATGAGGCAGAAAAAGCAGGTAATGTTTCTTTTTTTTCATTAAGTGAAGATTTTGATTTTCATTATATTTACCAGTCTAACATATTTTTATTTTTTTATTTTTTTTAGGAGTACCTGGAGATGCAGAGACAGCTGGCCATTCAGCGCCTCCAGGAGCAGGAGAAGGAGAGGCAGATGCGTTTGGAGCAACAGAAGCACACAATTCAAATGAGAGCTCAGATGCCTGCTTTCCCTCTGCCCTACGCCCAGGTACTCATCACCCACTGAAATGGGACTTCTCTTGAAATGGAAATCTACCTTGTAAAAAATACAAAAACATATATGAATTGACCTTTGACATTGTTGTCCAGATGCAGTCTTTGCCTCCTAATGTAGCTGGAGGGCATGTATACCAGCCTGGTGGTCCACCAAGCTACCCTGGCACTTTCAGCCCTGCTGGTTCTGTGGAGGGCTCACCTATGCACAACATGTATATGAGTCAGCCTGGGCAGAACGCACCTGTACCAGGACAGTACCAGGCTATGCCTCCGCCTGCCACAGGTGAGGGAGATTCATCACCTGGATTCATTAGGAAATGGATTATGTGCTGGGTTTGTTCAACTTGACAAAGCAAGTTCATAACACAACTCAGTAAAATGACAAAATTAAATGCTTGAGATTCAATTCAGTTTATTTGTACAGTGCCAATTTACAACATGTCATCTCAAGGCACTTCAGTTCACCAGATCATACAGTCAAATTGATTCAAAGTTTTCTATCTAAGGAAAACCAGTTGTTTGCGTCGACTCATTGATGCTAATGCAATCCAAGATTAACTAAATAATGAAATAGAAGAAAAATAAAAGCAGAATGAAAGCAAATAAAGATAAAAACTTGATAAAAGCAGGCAGTAAAGCAAATAAAACAGTTGGACCGCAACCTTAAACTAATAATAACTCACTTAACAGTTTAAATTCAACAGTTAAAGGCACATCTATAATCAAATCAAATGAGTTTCTAACTGACTTAGAAAAACTCAGGCAAGATTAGGATGATGTTTGTACCACTGTTTTATTTGTGCATTAAAACCTATTTTACCACAATATTATCGATTAAATGTGTGGATTTTATTTTAAAGAGCTTTTTAAGTCCATAGTAACTTGTATATTTTTCAATACCTTGAATGATAACAATTCCTTTTAATTCTGCTTTTTCTACATTATACTTTTCATTGCTAATATAAGCTAAATAGAAATGTTTAAGTTCAGCACTTAATAACTTTTGCTAATGTTACCTGTTTTTTTTTTTTTTTTTTTTTTTTCTCCAGACCCCAGTATGGTAAATGCTTACATGTATCAGGCTGCAGGCACCAATGGGCAGCCTCCTCCTGGCCAGGCCCCACCCACAACCAGCCCACCGTACTCCAACTATCAGCCCACACCCACTCAGGCCTACCAGGTGTGATTGTCCCCCCAACTGAACGTCTGCTCATTGAAAAACAAAGTTGGTCATTTTAAATGAATAACTAATCATTGCATGTTGTGTGCAGAATGTGGTCTCCCAAGCCCAAAGTATACCCCCCATGTCGCAAGCAGCCCCCACCAATGGGATGGCTTACATGAGTTACCAACCATACAACATGCAGAACATGATCTCGGCGTTGCCAGGACAGGACCCCAACATGCCTCCCTCACAGCCCTACATGCAGGGACAGCAGCCCATGTACCAGCAGGTCAGTTCATAAAGGCTAACACCTTTTTAAATGCTCTTATTGCTCTAGTGATATTTTGTTTATTACATATTCAACCCTCATGGCTTACAAATTACTTGGATCTATGACTATGTCCTTGGAGTATCTTTATACCTATAGCATAAAGCTGAGGGGATTTTAAGCCCTATACCCAGCATGTTAAATGAATAGAAAGTTCCTTCATAAGAGACATGGTAAAGTGGGACAGTCCCTGCTGTTGGGTTAGCCACTTCCCTGTGTTAGACAATCACTGTGAATACAGAGTAATCAAACATGAACAGCAGGCTATCCTGATGCCACCTGCTGGTAAAGATGGGGCAGAGCAGTGCAGTTAAACAGCCTTGAAAAAGTAGCCATGTTTTGTTATCTTACAGGTAGAACCTTATAACATGTTTGTCTCTTTTTTTACATTAGTCGGATGGGATTTATGTTTTTTGTTTTTAAACCTCAATTCTTTTGGATTATTGGATCATAGTCCTGTAGGTCATTGTTGGATTTTATTTAACGGAATCAGAGCAAAAGGAGCTGGATGCTGTTTCAGGTGTTTTACCTGTAAGTGTTAAAAATGCTTATTCTTCAAATTAAGACTCATAGGAGGCATTTTTCTGCAAGGCATCAGTGCTGTGATTGGATGTTTGCCTGCTTATCCAAACCAGTTTATCAAAGCCCTATGTTAAAATGGGATATGCTGCCACTGGATATTCACACTCAGGTTGCTAAAGGACTATTTATGCAAAGTAACTGTATTGTTTAAACTTAAGGAGGTTCAAGAGATTTAACCTAAACTATGTTGTTATTTTCAGAGTTTTTTTGGTTTTGTTTGTTTTTAACCTTTGCGTTTCAATCCTGTTAGGTTGCTCCCCCTGGTGGCCAGCCCCAGGCACAGCAGCAGCAGCCCCAGGCACAACAGCAAGTGCCTCAAGCAATCCCTGGCAGTGCAGAAGCAGAGCTCATCTCCTTCGACTGAAAACTTCCAGGCTGCGATGTTTCACACACTACACCTTCTTTCTTCTTTTCACACCTCTCTCCTAGACACAGAGGATTCCTTTTGGAAACAGAAACTTAATTCCAACCTTGCTGTGATGTTGTGGCAAAGTGAAATATTGTGATGATGTTGCAGAACTTTTGGTCTCTTTGCTTCTCCCCCCCCCAATGAGGTGAGAGAGTAGAGGGGGGGTAAAGGTGCTACAGAGAACCCCATAACCCAGACCCTTCATCTTTCAGCTGACATGTATGTAGTGTTTCTTTATTAAATGAACGACTAAAGCGCAAAAATAGTCTCTGGTATTCAAGACAATATGATCCTGTTTAGACGACAAAAATAAGACAGAAGCATCTTTTTTTCTCCCTATTTTTCTAAAAAGAAATCATTAGCATGTTGAACTGATTTTATGTTCTGGAATGAAAGTGACATATTGCAGCCAGTTTTGTCACTGATTGAGGAAACGTCTGTAAACAGTGATTAAGAAGGTGTAGATCTCTAAAGGGAGGAGTTGGTGAAAGCTGTCCATCTTATCTAGTCAAATTTGGGTCCTTACATTTTAGGATTTATTTGTTATGCGATGCTTGGAGTGTGTCTACAATCAGTAATTGGATTATAAACTATACTAAGTGTTGTCTAACCGTTGTTACATAATTAAAGAACAGCTTTTTACCATTGGTTACCAATAAAAACTAAAATCAGCCTGTGGACCCTAACCATGACATGTATTCACATTATTGATGTGAATGCATGAGCATTCTGGTGTAATAATCCCATGTAAATTGAGCTGCAGAGAAAATTCAGGTAGGCACTCTTTCTCAAGTGTACTTGTTTTCCTTATTTTGTTTTTAGAAATGTGGAAATGCTTATAGAATGAAACGTGCTGCATGTATGTATCACACTTTCTGTATCTCTTCAGTTTCCACGTGTGAACTTCTTTAATTCCAGCATACTGATCTGTCTGACTTTAAAGTAATTTTAAAATTATATTTAATAAACATCAGATTCTTACTGTCTCAATGTTTCAGATTTTTATTTTCTACCCGGATTGAAAAGGTTGCACCATTAACACATAAATTCCTTTGATTTACAGAGATTTGTTTGAGACCTCAATGAAAATTGTGCAAGACACTGATGGCCGATATAAACAGACAAATGCATTTAATGATTTACAAATACACATGATACAAAAAACATCTACTGTTATATTTAAGCAATATTTAAAATGAAGAAATTGGATAAAAGAATATGAAATGGAATAAAGAAGAGCTAAAACAAAAACAGCAAGACGTGCAGTTGTTTGCTGAGGAAATAAGAAACACGGCACCATGTACTGGTACTGGATCCAAACAAACTACACCATTTTCATATATTGCACCCATAGTTCAAACATTTTAGTTGGTATGCTGATGAAGATTCTCAGTCATCCAGGTTATAGTAATTCCGTAAAAGTTTAAAAAACAATTGGTTTCCAAGTCCAGTGGATTGTTTTTTAAAACTTTTACGGAATTTTAATTACCGTAGTAATACTTTATGAACTACTCTTAAAAAAAACATTTCAGTCTGTTAAAGTTTGTCAAAAAATAATTTTTTTGTTCATCTTGATTGGTTTGTGTAAAATCTGCTATAGATTATACTATAGGGATAACCTTCAGAGCTTCCTAAAGATGAGGCATTTGTAATAGTCTTCCATTTCAATCTGAAATGAGAATTTTACAAATGTGTGAAAAAAAAAAAAACATTTATTGTATTGTAAATACCATGAGAGTCTTAAGGCACATTATTCCTCACCATTCTCTCCAAACGCAGCCCATTTCCATAGGCCTTCTGTCTCAGCACATCTAGGTCTGGAAGACCCCATTCTGGGTTCCTATGCAGCAGAACGAAAATGTATTCCAGTTGGAAGCTTTGCACTTTACAGTGTGGAAAAAGTATTCTGCATACAAACATGATGCTGCTTGATTGTCAAGAAGCTTAACTGGTGCCCAGTTTTCATGGGCTTATTAGACACTATCAAATAATAGACAACACAATAGCCATGTGACAATAAAAAGAGCAAAGCATGGCATGATAAAAGTCCGTGTAAATTTGCCCATATAAAGAGAATAGTTCATAATTGATACAAAATACTTTGCTGCAGATACCAGGACTTTTCCAAAATTTTGCCAGATCAGAAACAATGCGTTTATTTGCACCGTGTTTTTTCTCCCACACTGTTTACATTTGATCACTGCTGCATTCAAAGAAATATAAATGTCATGACATATAAAATAAAATCAAATTTCTTTATTTACACTCTGTATAGAAAATGACAATTAAAGGTGTCTTAGTTATACTTTTCAAACAGCCATCACAGAATCCATATTTCATCTTTCCAAAAAAAAAAAAAAACACAACAGGATTTTTAAATGGAATTAATTCAAAAAGAGAGTTTTATAAATTACAACATAAATGAAAGTAAAAAGAAAAGGAAATTCATCTTCTTTTGATATCACAAAGTTCACACAAACGGGAATGATCAGGTGTGCCTTTAAATCGACCCAATTCTACAGCCAGAGCCTTAACTGAGCCTTCTGTCTAAATGAAACAAAATATAAGGTTCTGTAACGATCATTTTTAAACTGAACATAATTTTTAAGCTTTGGCTTCTTTCATAAATCCTGCTTCAATTGGACTGACAAATCCTGACTAAATCCCTCACATTTTTTAACAAATTCTAAAGAAGCTTTCCGAATGCTTCTAATGTTGAGTTGTTGAGCAGCTGCCATAAACGTAAGAAATAAAAAGCTTTTTACTCACAGTTTCCTTAGTTCTTCATCCAGAACTTCATTACAGCTGGGTGTGATGATGCCATTAACAGCAAACACCTGAAAAATATTTGTCTGTTTAAAGTAAATTTAGGGATTATGTTTTATTCACCGTCAGTCTGATGTTTACATGCAATCTATCATAAATGTCATGTTGATTTTGAGCATTTAAGGTTTGTAATTGTTCTTTTTCCATTGTTGGTTATAAAACTATAACTTCTAATGATATAAAAAAAAATTAAAATTGGGTGTGCAGGTTTAGATGTATTTTGCATTATCTTTATAATATCATAGATGTACACAGACACTCGGGTTATTATTTGGTTCAAGTTGCATATCGACCAGATGCCTTTGTAGCCAAGAACAAACTTGTGATATAACAATAGTCTGATTATATGCACAGTTGAGCTATATCATCATACAGTGTATGACTCTTTCACAGTCTAGTTGCCTTTTAAAAATGTGTCATAGGTCCATTATTCTGGAAATTGTATCACAATCATTTCACACCAGTTTGCTGGAGTTTTGGGGCATCCCTCCTTACAGAACTGGCACATCACACATATTTTCTATGGGTCTTAGTTAAGAACATTGTGATGCCTAGTCTTAAACATTACATTTTTTTCCCCTGCAAAATGTTCAGTAACTTGTTGGATTGTTTAGAGTCCCTGTTCATTAGGAAATTGTCTGCAGGCTTTAACTTACCTGATTTCTTGAAATGTTGCTTCAATATTTCTGCATAGTGTTCCATCCATTTTTGTCAAAACTTTTAATTTTAGTTCTGTTAAACCAATACATATGTCCATAAAAGTGAAGGTCTTCTTTCCTGTTATGTGGGCTTTAGACCCACAATTTTCTCTAGAACACATTTATCTCTTGGATCAGAACCAGTTTCCATCTCAAACAAAACAAAATTATTAATACTTTTTGAATATTTGTCACACATTTCAGAAACTGAAATTCATGTAAACGTAGAGCACGACTCTGCAACCTTTACAATCCAAAGAGTCATCCTTGCCCTCATCTAGATAAATAAAACTCTTATAGTGCTGCATATTTTTCATTGAGTTTCTTAAAAAAGACAACATAATTATGTGTTTTCACATTTAAAGAGCCACCACTCTGTCTTTATATTTAGAGTAGCTTTTTTTTGTTTTTATTAAATTTTTTTAACCAAAAAGTGGCAGATACTCTTTCTGCTATGGGGTGCTGATAATCGTGAAAAATCACATTATAAATTACATAATTTCCAACCTAATGACAATAAAACTAGATCTAACTAAACAATACTAACAGCTTTAATGTCATCCTCTTGTGCAAATCTAGAGCAGTTATTCAATGATTTTTTTTAAATTCTTTAACCTACAGTGTTTCCTGTTATATCAATAAGTAAAAACATGAACAGGTTCTTAATCTGGTTAAGCTGAAGTAAATAAGAGCCATTGTGGAAGATCCAAAGAGCCACTTGCAGATTCAGAGCCACAAGTTGCAGTGAAATATTCCCTCTAATGTGTATCTAGGTTTGGCCTCCTTTTTGCATCACTTACTACATCGGCCTGCTTTTCTGCTGAGATTGAGATGAATTCCAAGTTGCTTTGAATGCAACCTTCAAACTATATTCCTTGCTGGGTGTGGTTTCTCTTGTTTTCCCTTAGAAATACCCCATATGTTCTTTGGGCTGGCTCACAAAACAGTGGTCAGTGAACGGACTTCTGGTGCCTTTGGCCCTGTGGCTAGGTGCCAAGTCCTGCTGGAAAATAAAATCAGCTTCTCCGTAAAGCTTTTCAGCAAAAGGAAGCTTTCTAAAATGTTCTGGTAGACAGCCGAGTTGACACTGAACTTCAGAAAACACAGAAAATTAACACTAGCAGATGACAGCTGAGGAAACGTTACTTAAAGATTTCTTTTTTAGGTTTTCTAAGTATATATATATTTTTATATGTACATATATGTTGGAGATGAAGGGTGTAACATGCCAAGTTGTTTGCTACATACCCCATATGTTATGAAAAGGCCATTTGGTTTAAGGATCTGCCCGGCTCCACTGAAAACACCCTTGAGGTAATTTAAGAAGCAAAATAGACATTAGTTGTTAAAGTATGAGCTCCTCCAGCCAGTGAGATTAAAATATTCAGTTAGTTTTTCAGGTGCCTACCTGTGCTGTTTTGAAGGAGCTGTACTGCAGGAGGTTAATGGCAATAATAACATCACAGGAATTACGAGAAACACCTGTCCATTTGTCCCAAGGTTCGCTGGCATCCAGCAGGATGGGCTGGAGCACAGTTTTAACATGGGTAGCAGCTATATATGCCTTTATGCTGAAAATGAATACAAATCCTTTCAGTCCACTTTTTTGAAAGACATTTAAATAAAATGCAAATGTATTTTTGATTGACAAACCTGTCACGACACTCCTCTTTAATGTCTGATGGCTGCCATGTAACAAAGGGTAATTTCTGTGCAAATCTAATGACATGTTGTCCTGTTCCGGAGCCAATCTCCAAGGCAAACAATTGCTTGTGTGACTGGTCCTCCAACACGTCTTCAAGCACCTCACAGAGACCCTCCCAGTTCCTCTCTGCCTGAGGTGACAGCAGCATGGTCTGGAAGAGAGACAGAAAAACAGGTCAGTTTATTATTTCAGGAATAACAGATTTATGTATCATTTCAACCAAAGGATAACTCTTACCTTCTCTTGTGCTGGGTTACAGAGTCTAATGAAGAGGTAACATATTGGTGTAGAGTGGATGTGGGGTGAGTGACGGTAACAGCAGATGGAGCCACAGATTACCTGGTTAAGAGGATTCAGTCTGCACTCCACCCCAGCATAGAAAGGCTGGGATAAAAATTTACTCTGAGGATAAATAGTATAAATACTCAAAGGTGTGTTGACTAATGTGATAATATGTCTATAATGTGCAGGAAAATATATGTTTTTTATTACATTAAATGGACAAACTTGTAATTTGGAAGATTTTTTTTTACTCATACAAAAAATGAGATATTGAAGTTTCTTCTCTCATATATTTTGGATAATAATGTATTAAACGTTAATATTTGTATTGTAACCATAAGCAGGATCTTTGGTCATGTACTCTATGGGGATCTATGAGCAACAATTAAAAATAGAAATTATGATGAAAATAGGAATTTAAATAGTGTTTTGTTTTCAAATGTTTGATAGAACACTAAGCCATACATTTTTGTAACATATATAATGTATTTTTTATAATCACAGTTTTTATGTCAGGCAAATAAATTGTACCTCAAATCTAAACTAATTGATTGTTTTGATAAGCAATATCATAATCTCTCTCAAAACTTGTAAATCACATATTGAATAAATTAAGAAAAAAAATATGCATATGTTTTTCCCATAATTTTTTTCTTAACTTTAATTGTTCAAATATTTTAATTCTGAATAATTTGCTTTCTAAATACCACTATAGTGATACCTGGATATTTTAATATCAAACTAAACCAGGACCTCTGCTGGTCCAGTTTGCCGTTATGTCATAGGAAAAAAAATAGACTTTAAAGCACATCTATACTCTGTATTGATGTGCTTTAAATATGAGCTCCCTTTCTTTATCCCACCGAGTCACTTACTCCATTGTAAATCCTTTAAAAAAAAGATAAACAGAAGTCAGAAATCCACCAAACACTTTAAAATCCTATATGATCACTTCACACATAAAACTCAGAAAAGGCTTTGGTAAATATTTTATCTGCTTAGATATGCTTAGAGCAATATTTACCTATGCGCGTCTTGTCCCTCATGAGCACCCATACGTTTTCTAACAGTTCATGTAATGCATTGTGGGTAGGTCAGGCTCAGGGAGGTCGCCATGTGCTGTTGAGGTGCTGGAATTGGACCTGATTGGGATCATCTAGATTACATTTTTGCCTCAGCGGAGCTTCGGTTAACGTTAGCATGTACTGCACCACGCGCTGCCTGCGGACCGCTTTGAAGGCTGCCGCCAGCATCCACCGGTAGGTCACCCCGGAACCGCTGCTCAGCCCTGCTTCTTTATGGAGGCTTTCTTCAAGGACAGACAGACCGGCTCTGTTGCTACTTTTTAATGTTTAAAGTACCAGTTTATCCCATTTAACCCCTTGAAAATGATGCATATGGTGTTTAACTACATATTTAATCTAGTTTCATGCTCTGTAGAGGTGTTTTTAGAAAGTTAGCCGGCGGTTAAAATCACCCCTCCGGACTTTAATTCCAGCATCATGTTTCTGTGTGGTAAATTATGTAAAAACACATCTAGACTTTAAAGTTAAACCTTTCTGGCGGACCGTATTCTCTCTTTAATAGGTTGACATTTAAAGCCTTATCCTCAGAGGAGTGTTTGTTGCTAACTAGCTAGCCAGATATCTGGCTAGCTAGTTAGCAACAAACCAACCAGTAGAAAATGGATCTGGCACCAATATTCACCAGCTCTCTCTGCAGCTTTGTATTTATTTTTTATGAACATCTCTGGGTTGTTTGTAAGAATTCAGTAAGGAAACATGAAGCTGATTTTATAACATGCAGTAGGTCATATGCTAATCTGTCCAAAACACATAAAACATGTACCTCCTACCTCACAAATGATAGAAATAAATGACTAAAACATTGCATGTATCAAATAATACAGGCTACAGTGTATTAATTTAAACAGGTTTAAGTAACTTGTGGTTATTTTTAGTAAGCTATGTGCTTACAAACTGATACATGAAAATTTATAAAAAAAATAGAATACTTTTCTCTTTTAGATGATATTTGATAGTGTCAAAAAAACTATTAGTAATAAAATTCAATGATTTGTTTGTTTTAATTAATTTTCAAAATGCATATTAAAGTGGATATAATCAGTAACATGCAATAGCTATTAATACCGTCATAATAAATACATGAAATGTTATCTAAATTTAGCAGCATTTCTGTCAAAGCCAATAGTAGTAGTAAAAGTCACTTTGTCGTATGTGATAATTAACAGACTAAATGAATAGAAATTTAAAGTATACTAGGTTTGTGAGTATTAAACAGTCTTAACTTTAGCTCATTAGAAAGTTAGCTTTTATCTGTAGCTTTAAGCATCTTTGACAAACCGGCTGATTGACTGCAGTGTGCAAAAGATAAATGAATCAAGGTCAACAACTTGAGAGTTTAGAGTGACATCCTAGGATCAGGAATAGAAAAGAGAGACAACAGGGTCAGTTATCTTTTTTCTGTCTTCTTAAGATTAGCTGTTTCCCTTTAAATCTTCGAAATCAGTGATTTTCAAATGATTTAACTTTTGATAACAACAAGGGAAGAATCTGTAACCCCAATGATCTGTTGAGCACAGAAGCAGTATACCAATATAACATGAATGTGTGAATATAAGTATATTCTTAGCTAAATTTAAAGGAATAGTACACCCAAAACACGATTAGCCTTCATTTTCTACTCACCCCCATGCTGAACAACACTCTGGAGTACTTTTTTGATATCTCAAATGCATCTGGAGATCTGGGAGGCTTCTTGCTGTCTGCTGACATTCAAATAATGGAGGTCTATGGTGCCCGAGAAAGAAAGGTCCATAAAAGTCCACAAAAAACTTGTCAATATTCCTCCATACTGCTCGTCCAATGTATTCCAAGTGTCCTGAGTGGGTAGCATCCAGAATTTACTCGAAACAAAGTCATTTAGAATGTTTTTAGAGCATAAACAGTAGTGTATAGGATTTCCTGAAAGCGCGCGCGTGCGCGTTCACGACGCTACGGAAGCCGGCAGACCAAACCAGATGAAAGTGCGCATTCAGCATCTGCTCTGCCAATAATACAAGCGTAGAAGAAGAAATGTGCTGTTTACCTGTGCAAAGAAAGAAACAACGAAAGAAAAAATGTCTGAGGACTTCAGTGTTGAGGAAGAGCATGAGTTATTTGCCGAGCTGAATGCGCACTTTCATCCGGTTTGGTCTGCCGCGGTTTCCGTAGCGTCGTGAACGAGCTTTTAGGAAATCCTATACACTACTGTTTATGCTCTAAAAACATTCTAAATGACTTCGTTTCGAGTAAATTCTGGATGCTACCCACTCAGGACACTTGGAATACATTGGACGAGCAGTATGGAGGAATATTGACACGTTTTTTGTGGACTTTTATGGACCTTTCTGTCTTGGGCACCATAGACCTCCATTATTTGAATGTCAGCAGACAGCAAGAAGCCTCCCAGATCTCCAGATGCATTTGAGATATCAAAAAAGTACTCCAGAGTGTTGTTCAGCATGGGGGTGAGTAGAAAATGAAGGCTAATCATGTTTTGGGCGTACTATTCCTTTAAACTGCTGTAGGACCCCTTTTTTTTATCTTTGTGAACAATTAATTATGTCTTGTTTTTAGGTAATAAGCAGGTATGGCCGTTTTCTCTTTTAGGCACCACCTTCGACAGCAGGCACCGGTCCTGTGTTCTCTCCGACTTCTGAAAACCAGTCCGACCTCCCAATCAGACGTCATAGCCACGCCTCCTCTGGATGGAGCACCCAAACAGTACTCCCCTAAAATCCAACAGCTGGTCAATGACATTGCCAGCCTCACATTGTTAGAGGTGTCGGACCTTAATGAGCTCCTAAAAGTATGTGGAAAGTCTTTTTTATTCAGAGCGTGTATCACAGTTTTAAGCTGCACTCTAAAGCTTAACGCTTAATTTGAGAGATGATCTGTTTGTTCTTGTTCACAGAAAACTCTGAACATTCAAGATGTTGGAATGATGCCGATGGGGGCCATGACAGCATCTGCTGTCCCCGCAGCTCAGGTAATAACTGCAGTACAATGTGATCTGATAAAACACCTGGCAGAAGGATGTTTTCTATCTGATTATTACCCGTTTGAAAGATTAAATGCAAAAATGTATATATTTTAAGGAAAAACTTCTCGAGCATTTCAGCCATAATGTTGGCCCGCATTGTTTATATATTTTTCTTTCCTGTGAAACCAGGGCGCAGAGGAGGATGAGGCACCGGCTAAGAAAGAAAAGACTCACTTCACAGTAAAACTGACAGAGTTAAAAGCGGCTGAAAAAGTGAAGCTTATAAAGGAAGTGAAGAACTGTATCCAAGGCTTGAATCTGGTGCAGGTAAGAGTTAATATCTGATGGCTGTTTATGCTCAATAGTTTAATTTTGGTATTTTATGTTTTTAGCTTTTGATTTTGTATTTATGGACAAAAACCTCACAGATTTCTTGTTTTTGACTGTCTGATTTGGATCTGTTGACACATTTTGCTGATATTGTCATTAAACCCACCTTCAGACCAGCAGTTATTTGCAGTTGTCTAACCTGATCCAAACTGGGTTGTTTGATGTTTAAAAGGGAGTCCAACTCCTCTGTTAAAATGATGATCACAGGGCAGAACAAGTTATCATTTTATTGGTGGAATTTCCTGGACAGCACATGGCTTCTAGAAACTAGGATCTTGTTTAATGAGAGACATGAAAGCAGATCTTGTTCTTAGCTGCTGATATGAATGCAACAACTATTGGTCGTACACCATAAAATAGTGAACATGTTTTGATATCTCTTTACCTTTCTTATAGTGTGTGCTATCTAAAAATCAAACATGAACATTTTGATAATTGAACTTTTTTGATTTCACATTGGAGATATTTACCTCTTGATTTAACCCATCCCCTTGGGGAGCAGTGGGCTGCTATCATGAGATGCCTAGAGAGCTATCAGGGGTTGAGGGTCTTGCTCAGAGACCCAGAGTGGCAGTCTGTGGGAATGGGTTTTGACCTCACAACCTCAGGATTCCAAGCCCTATGCCCTAAACACGAGTCCATCAATCCCATCAATATGGAGATTAGAAATTTTACAGATGCTATATCTTGAAAAAGTTCACAGAGTAGACCTTGAGTATCAGTCCATTATTAGCCAAAAACACTATAGGTTATGCATGTATATAAAATATCTGAGATTTGCATGTTGATAGAAAAAAACTGCATCTATTTAAAGTTTTCTGTAACCCATTGGTCCTCATAGCTATTGTGGATGACTGTTGGTCTGTTTCAGCCTTTACTAACATTCTGCAATACAAAATAAGTGATAAAGGCATGTATGATTCATGCTAATATTGGACTGGTTCAATATCGGCATCAGTAAGTTCTTCAAACTGTTATATCTATATCATATTGGAAATAAAAAAGAGCCATCAAGACATCCCTTGTTATTATTTCCCCTATAACAAGGGCTGTTCTTTTTCCAATGGATGTCGAGTATTTAATCATTGAATAACCATTGCAGCATATATTGTGTGCAACAATGAAATCACAAAGAAGTGTCTAAAATATTTTGGATGATGATGTTTCATGCATATTGATTATATATATTGGTCTTTAAAATGAATGGAACTGCCCTTAATGCCCTCTCCCGCTGTACATCTTTAGCATCTGAGATGTTAAGCCACAGAGCAACAGGGACCCGATGAATGGGTTAAAAAAAAAAAAAGAAAGATTTTTATTAATCATTTTTTAATTTTCAGAAATACCACATTTAGATACTATCCTCATAAAAACGCAAGTTTAAAAAGAAAGTCTAAATAAACCTTGTAGTTGGGGTTGAAACAATTAATGGGATTAATCGATTATTGCGATGATTTAATCGTTAACTGGGGAATAGAGAGTAAAACATGAATTTAGTTGAAAGAGACAATGCACTTAGAGCAGTAATTATATACAAAACAAACAAAAAAAATCAGTATTTTGCATTTAAGATAAAAGAAAAACCTTTTCTTCTGTCAACGTGCTCTACCCAGAACTTACAAGTGGAAAATCTTTGGTTTCACCTGGTTAAATCCTGTAAAAAATCTTCCCTTAAGTCTTTAATCGAAAAAAAATAATCGACAAATTAATCAATTAATTACTTGCAGCCCTACTTGTTGTTTAGTTCCTATCAGAGGTTTTTAAAAATGATCTCTCTTTGATGCTTAAATAACTACTCTGTTACCATTTGCTCTATAACTTTCTTTTGTTGCATCATATTTGTAATTTCCTTAAAAACTATGTTTGAAGGAATGTGTGTTATTTTAGGCATCAAGCTGTGTATGTGTCTGTGTAGCCTATATGTTTAATTATTCTGTTGTTTCTTTGTTTTGTAATCTCTTCTTTCCTCTCACTCTTTAATCAGGCCAAGAAGCTGGTGGAGTCCCTTCCCCAGGAAATCCGGGCTAATGTATCCAAGGAAGAAGCAGAGAAACTCAAAGCTGCTCTGGAGGCAGCAGGTGGCACTGTGGTGCTGGAGTAAACCCATGGAACCTCCGGCCCATTTACTCTGGAGTTTTATTCTTCATGCACTTCATCCATCTAAATATTTGTTTTTTGTTTTTTTATTCATAAAAAGAGAATCTCAAGACAAATGGAAATTAAAAACAGCATTTTTCCAATGCTCCCATCTCTTAGCAGGGTCAGGTGGAGTGGTACAACTCGGACTGAACTTTACAGAGAATCTGCCTCCACAAATGACCGCTGCACTCCCTGTTAAAGAGCTCATGCTGTGTTGTTATTGCGCTACAGAAATGCTGGCATGGATGCCCAGGGATGGATGGGTAGCTCTGTGTTGATGTTAAACTGTTCACAGAGAAAAGTAAGAGTTACAAATGGGGAGGAACACCAAAAGTACCTTTCTGAGGGGATGTCGGTGCTGAGGCAGTGAAATGCTCAAAGTTCATGATAATGTCATTAAAGTTGAATTATTCATTTTTTTGGTATTTGATTCATTTTTAAAATAATTATTAAACTAAGAATTTAAACATTCATCAGTTTTGACTACAAGGATTCAGACAAACTCTCCTGCAGTTTCCTTGTTCACCTCCAGCCAATCAACTCAGAGCTGCACCTTCTCTGGAGCCAGTCATCTAATAAAGACTCTAATCCTTTTTCTAGGTTACTCATCCAAGCAGTCTTGATTCTCAGCATCCAAATCTTATGCCAGGGCCCGAGCGCCATAGAACTTATTTCATTTATGTCATTATCTGCTTTTTTCTCCTCAAAACCCCAATGCTCACACTGAGCCTGCTTCTGCACGAACAACGTGGACAAGCTGAACGCTGCTAGAAAGGAAACCTGGGCTACCAGAAAACTTCAATAGTCCCATACTCGCTTAACATCATGGCCAGAACTACATAATCAAGGCATATACTGCACATTATGTTATGCATTGGGAAAAAAAGCATTCAATATATTTCCATTGGTCTTATTTTTTTTTACATTTTCTGAAACGCAGAAATAAGGAGTTTTAGTGGTTTTAAGCCATCAAACTTTGTTAAACATTTAGGTCTGTTTTCAATGACTTTGTAAATTGTACCTCTCAGATTAAATTTTTTTTTAGATAACCTGAATAATATTCTATTTTTTATGCTTCTGTGCTGGAAATGACTAAAGACAGAAAAGTCTATAAAGAATGCTTAGACCTAAATAAAATAGGCCGCATCAAATTTATTAGTTTAATATACTGATAGGGGGAAGGTACTATAAAGAATATGTGATTTATGACTGACTACAATACAAAAACGTCTAGTTTGGAAGTCATAAAACTTAATTTGCATTAAATTTCTTTTTATCTTAAACCCAGTTTTATAACTGTTAGTAACTTGTAACACTAATTGCCCTCTTGATAACATGATTTTTTAAAGATTTTACTGAAGATTATACAAGTACAAAAACTGAATTAGCATATATATTAATATTTTTATATATTAAGTCTTAGGAGTAAAGGCATTTTCTGTTAAGTCCTCAAACTTTGATTTCATTCAGTGATTACTTTTGTTTTTCGTTGCTTATTGCCACCAGATTGCGCTGTTGTCTATACAGTTTAAAACAAGGGACCCGGAGCAGAAATTCTACTCGAAAAACATTTTGATACCTAAATTATTCAGTCTTTACTAATCAGTTTATAATCTTGATAATAACCGTTCAGCTTTTAAAATAAGAAATGTTTCTGTATGTTTAATAAATTGAAAACTGATTAGTGCTCCACAGTGGCTGAGGGTGAATAAAGGATTTTATACTATTAAAGGTTTGTTTGAATATTAAGTTTTCGTTTTTGTGTTCGTGTGCAGAACAATCAAACAGAATAATCTGTAGGTTTATTGCAAGTAATGTTTATTATGAAATGAAAATGATTTAATGTTTCCAGCAACATAGGCAAACACGCTTACAGATGTATGTTTAAATAGCCAATTATTCAAACATCAAGTTCTAAACTCCAAAACAATCAAATGTTATCAAACAGAACATAATGTAAGCTATAACAGCTTTCCATAGTGTGATTGTGTATATGAATTTACAGATATAATCCTTATTCATCTTACACATTTTCATTAGTTTGCCAGGAAAGCATTTATATTCAAAATATAGTTAAATATGATGATATACTGTAAGAAAGTTGGATTAGGCCTACTGCTGCATAACAGGGCATTTAGCAATAATATGCCCAATTCATGTGTCTTACAGCAACAGGACAAGAGAAGGAGCTTTATAAAGGAAATCATTTGAAGTGTGAATTTCAGCTGCTAGTAAAACCTCCCTGAAAGACGAGGCTTTACAATAATCCAGTTTCCTCTAATCGAGAAAACTCAGAGGATATCTGTCCCAGTGGGAGTGACAGAAGATTGCTCTGGAGGAGGATGCACTGACAACCCACTGAGTTGGTGATGATGCTTTCACACTGTGGCAATGCAAGAGTGAGATGAGTAACTGAAGGGCAGAGGGTAGAAGAGAGAGAAAAATGATTTGATAAAAAGATACGTTTTCATGTATGTCAGGTGGCATAGTGAAAAAAATACATGTAATCCTGCTCATTCAGTCTGATTTCTAACTGCATATAGGCAGCTGTTTAGTTCACCCAAAATCCAAATGATGGCCCACGATTAAACTTTTCTTTGCTGACATTAAGCAACTTAGTCAGAAACAGGCCTCCTACATGACGTTGCTCATAATATGCTCTAAACTTTTTCTCAAGGGGGACATTTATTTCAGAACCTTGTTGTCAGGCAGAATTAGCTTCAGCCAAGAGGCGAGTTTATTTCATTTAACAAGTCAATGAGATGTAAGTGGCAGAGAATAAGTTCTAAACTACAGGGAAGGTTTGTGTGTTAATCAGGCATATCTGAACATCCTGCTCCTATTTGCTTACTGTTGCCCTCACACCTCACCTCATGAGCATCCCTTCCCCTTCCACATGGTACCCATTCATAATTTAGCTGCACTGCTTTAACTTTTTAAAAAATCTATAGAAGAAGACCGGTAAAATGCAACCTGTTAACATTTTAGATTTTTAGATAAATTTGTAGAAGTTGAGTCCAAGCATGCTGGCATGCTATATTAACAAAACTACTTCAGGAGTCAAGCTATTTTTATTTAAGTCACATACACTCCCACTAACCAGCTGCACTCCTTTACTTGGCACAGAAAAAAAAAAAAAAAAAAAAAATACAGATCCATACTTTCTCAAGTGCCGAATTCAAATATGTGGTTTCCAGAAATGTCCGGAAATCAGCTCTATATTAAGAGAATGTTTTCCACCTGGATGTAGCATGATCCCAGCTACACAAATTCTAGGGGTTTATTTACGGTAACTAAAACCCTCAGTGGTACGCCGGAAAACACCCAATGGATTGAATCAAGGTAGGATGGAGCTATTTAGAAATGCTTCCCCTTAAAAAGCTGAGCGAATTTAGAATTTTAGGTCTCAGTTATACAATAGATAATGCAAAGGATGCAAAAAGACAGAAACATTAAATATAAACGAGACATTAAAATAATTGAGCTGAATAATGGATGAGTTGTAGCTTTTGGTTTAAAGAGAGAAGTTTCTGGGTTTGAAACTATGCCAGGGCTTCTCTGGATTCAGCTTTATATGTTAAGGTTACCTCCAGTTATGCTTAGAAGGGATGGAAAATAATGAACTGATAGAAAAATTGTAAACTTTTACAAGGATGTCGAACTTTGGTTGTGTCAATGAATGCAACATAGTTTTTGTAACTTTCCACTTAGAGGACCAAAGGCAGTTACTTTCTAATTTTGGAATTAGATTCTAGGCAGAAGGATTGTAAAAGTGCTAATTAATAATCTATTGATTATTAATCTATGTCCGCTCAGATTTACAGTTGTTAAATGCCACCAAGTAGAACCAGTCTGGCAAATTAGATCTGATTCAGTGTACAGTAGCACAGGAGTAGACAATTCAACACATTTTTCCAGTCTATAATCAGGATTTAATGGGATCAATTTGTCAAATATATCACTCAGATTCAGTATTAGCAAGAAAAAGGATTCTAATGCTGCACTGAAAAGTTTATTTAATTATAAACCTTCTCTGATACAGTTTCAGCCTCTTGGTTTGGTCAACTTTTGTGTGGGAAGTAAGAAGTTAAGTAAGAAAATGTATATAGAAGCAATGCAGGTATTATTTTTGCTTTTTAGATTAAATTCACATTTGGAAAATTTGTTAACATCAGTGTTTTCAAGTCAACAAGGATTTATATGATTTTCATGGTTAGAAAGAAATTATTTATTAGATTTTTTTTATGCATAATTCATGAGAAAATATTTTTTGCATTTGAGTTCTTTAATTCTCTATTATATAACAGATGGGGTGAAAACTGCATTAAGAAAACAATTATTTGTTTTGCCTATAATGGATCAATTAAATGAATGTTTTTCTTCAAATGTTCATGTTATGTGCTATTTGAAAGCTGGAACAGACATCCCTTCGTTGACAGGTACCTGGATACGTGCTGCAGCTCTCGGGTCTGGTGTTACTGACACATGCCTGTCAAAGATGCATTTATAAACACAGCAGGAGCTGAAGGTGAAGATGGTCAGGACGACTGTCAACATGGAACAGGGATGTATGACTCTCCCCTGTGGTTTCCATTTACAAAGTACACACAAACAAATGATGATAGAGAAAAATAATCATAAAATCCTGCTTGGTCAATTTGATACAAAAGTTATTCTTTTAATTCCTCTATAATTTACCCAAATGTTGTATCTTACAGTTTATGTTCTTGAACTGGTTGTATAGGAGGCTTAAATAGGACCCCTGGAGACCTGGAGAGATAACTGCACCATTTTCTTATCGCATTAAAAGCCTTTTTACGCAACAGAAATAGTCAATGATAATCGTTTACACTTTGAATCGCAGTCTAATAGAGCAATTTCCATTTACTATAAAAGCAACATATCCACCGCGCTGTTTCCGACCTTTCAAATCTTTTATTTCTTAGAATAAAGAACAATGTGAAACTGCCACTTAGGAAGCTTCACAAAGGTACATGCTAAAATAGAGATCATCCTGCTTTATGAATAATAACCAATAATTATGAACAGTTCTCTTGCAAAAAGCTACATTGTGAGACTTTCATTCTTGTCTCAGCTTCATTTATGTTTGATTGACTGTTTTTTAACAAAAGAAACAAATTTATAACTTGCCATTAAATGGTAAAATTGCTTTATGATCAATCAAATGAGAAAAATGTCTAGTGAAAAAGCAGAAATGTTACTTGACTACTACTAATAATTTAGTTGACTAAAACTGTATTTAAAAATTTCCAACAGCAATTAAATGAATTTAAAGTAAGTATATTTAATGAATACTTTCCACAGTATTTATGTTTGTTCTCCATAATGTTTTTCATTTCCTGTCATAGAGTGGATGTGAAAACTGGTCTGGGGGCTCAATGAGACGGGTACA